CATACTTTTCTTCACATTAAAAAAGAGGAAGGACTGTCTCCCACCATGGCAGAGTAGCAACTGATCATCGGTACAACCAAGGCCCCTGTGCACCGCGGACTGTGTGCTGCACGACCGCGCATGTTGCATTGCCGTCACGGCCATGCACCGTGCTGGTTAGGACAGCCGACGTGCGCTGTCCACCAGTCCAGTGTACACGTATGCTGTGTCACTGGGTCCCTATGCACACCATGCCTGGCAAGTCAAGTCGCATTGAGTAACACTTGATTCTGTGCCAATAGAAAGATGAGCCATATGGTGCAACCGCATGCTGGCAAAATATACACTTTGTTTCCCACCTCCAAAAAGTGGGAACTATCATCAGTTTTCAACTGAATCTAATAAATAAGCTCAGAAAAAGGGACTGATTCAGAACGTTTACAGTCCAATAGGCTGGGCTTGGGCTACTTCCTAAACAGTAACTGAACTGAACTGTTTCCTGACAATTGATACAGTGTAGTTCTTTACGCAACGGCATTTTGAAAAGTGCCCAACAATCACACAAGAGAAAACCTCCGTTTGCTCTTTCTAAAGACCCTATAATAATGATAATAGCTAACCTAGGGGTCCGGACAACTTGACCGTTGAGACAACTCGACTGTCCATGCGTAAAAGGGAGAGACAAGTCGTCCATTGGGACACTGTCCACTCAACCCTGTCATCTGCTGAGGCCATGGTGTGAAATACTATGCCTTAATAATGGTATAGAATTTCACGTAGTGGATAGAGAAGCCTAATTTCTGAGGTATTATAAAAATGGTAGCTCGTACGGCCATACTAAGTCGATCTTTGCGCTATCAATCAATCTTGCACCCACGCTGACCCAGCCAGTATACCTACATGTAGTTCTGGATTGCTTGAAATAAACATTCACTTTTTAAACATAAAGATTCACTTTTTTTTAATTTGTTGGAATTCTTATTTATGAACCAAGTTTTCTAAATTGAGGAATTTTTAATTAGAAAATAAGCTTTTACAATGGTTCTGGCTGAAAACAGATTTGCCTCTCACATGGTTACTTTCCAGAAACTGATCCAGAATGAGAAAAAGCGTTACCACTTTCGTCGATCCTGTACGTCCAAATTAAAAGTTTAAAATTTGAAATTAATTTGGTAACATCTCTAGCGCAGAAGGTGGATGGTGACCATATTTCACTGAAATTTGAGGATTTTTTGTAGCTGCAATCTAACTGAATAATTTTTGCGATCTGGAACTGGAAAAATGACTGTATTATGTGTAGAGATCTCACTAGTTGAGTTGTCTCTCTGTCAAAGTCGAGTTGTCCTAACGGACGACTAGGCAAACAGTCAAGTTGTCTCAATGGTCGAGTTGTCCTAAGTCAAGTTGGCAAACCGTCGAGTTTTCTGATATCCGCTGACATATGGAACGACCGGGCTAAAGTTTATTTTGTAGCTTTTAACCTGTATCATTGGCAAAAAATGAGGTTGTTTTCTACCATCCTCACCTCTCACCCCTTAACAATCCAAACACATCTGCGTTCTCTGTGGCCGTACGTCACGTGACAAAAACAGGTGCAGCATATTCGTGTAACGAACGTTTATGTTGCTTTGGATACCAGTCCCTATAATTCCGACTACTCTCGTTTAGATTATGTATAGACAGATGGAGACGTCTGGGAAATCTGTGGTCAGGGAACTAATGCAACATATGTAACAATCAACACACCTAACAATCCACACGCATCGGCAACACACGTAACAATCCACACGCATCGGCATTAGTGTTTCCCTGACCACAGATTTCCCTGATGTCCCCATACATAATCTAAACGAGATATAATTGCTGGGCACTTTTCAAAATGCCGTTGCATACATAACCATCAATTGTCAGGAATCAGTAAGGCCAACAGAGTAGACCTGGGCCTACCCACTGTTACTTCGAGAACTCTAAGTCACTAACTCTGTGAGTTCTCGAAGTAACTGTAACTTCATTGAACAGATGAACTTGTGAGTTGTAAGTTAAGACTACCTGCAAAATTTGTTTTTGATGAGCTGCATCAGCAAGCCTCTCCTCCAGTTCCTCGACTTTGCTAACTTGTTCTGCTTTCAGGTTGTCGATGATCAAGTTCTTCTGAGACAGTTCGATTTTCAACAACTGCAGATCATGTATCATCTGCTTACGCTCGATCAGCTGTTTGGTGATCTTGCTCTGCTGTTTCTGATGGAAACCTTTTCGATCATGTCGATTTCGCCGCCGGTCGCTTTCCGATTCATCCTCCACCGATATCGACAAATCGGTGGCAAGAGAGGTGCTGATGTCACCTGTCTCCAGTTCACTCAATGTGCTGGAGATATCTCGGGTTTCCATGGCTTTAGTTTATCACAAGTTTGTGTCAGTTGGCGATTCCTTTCAAAGGGCACGTATACGCGTATTTTGTGCACCGCGCCTTGAAGTTTATGTACGTCTGGTATCCTAGGCAAAAAAAACCCATTCATGTATTCAAAAGAGCATGCGAAAACAAAATGAATTACGGGTACCACACTAGATTTCTGTATTGGAATTTTTAAAACCTTGGCTTAGTCTCCAGCAGTACCGGCCTCGGGGAGATTCTCAGGCCCTGGTCTAGCTCCTTTCAAGCCAGCCCTCTGCTTCAGATACGTCTGATCCTTTAATATCTAAGCCTCTTCAATCTAGCTCCATATAAAACTGTCTTCTTTATAAGACGTAGAATGGTCTGGTGATTCAGTGCGCATTGAAAAGCGATTCACCTGCTAGGATGCTTTGTTTTGGTTCCAGGAAGTTTAAAATTGTAGGGGACCGTGGCACGAACCCACCGCCAAGCAAGAGAGGGCGCATTACATCCATGTAGCTCTGGTGCCCATGCGCAAATAATGTGGCGCATTCTGTACATTAGGCTAATGCCTAAGAGAATGCACCACACTATAGTATTTGTGTATTGCCAGTATAATAGAGATCAGTGATTGAAAGCAGCGTTAAACCGGAAGGGGGGGGGCGAGAGGGGAATTTTTTTTTATGGGATGACTTGCCAGGGGATGATTCGATAGCCCCACCCCCCAGATTTACGCCCACGATCGAAGGCCATGCTAGTCAACATGGGATAATATGGAAGCTGACATCACCGGAGTTTCTCATAAAAAAAAGATGCGCAGTCGGTTCCACTGCAATAAATACGCGCCCCTAGAATACAGCACAAAATCTGGCAGAAAATTTGAATAGCGCCACCTGGCGACCCTACGCATGAAAAGGCAGCTTGTGTGCAATTTCACTAGTTTTAGCCACCTCATTAAAAGAAATTGTCCCTTCCCATCCCCAAAACACCCCCAACATAGTAGTTAACAAATCTCTAAGCCCAGGGGTAGCCACTGCCACTGTGCAATATAAAAGGTTTTTGCAACTGAAATAGCCTACCCCAACTTGGAAGAGAAAAGTCACAATTGATTGATTCATGGAGATATATTTCTACAATCTGTCCCGATTAAGGAACCTTTCATTGTAAATCATAAGCCCCTTGTATCACAAACTATGTAGCTGCAATGAATTTTTCCTTCATACAAGTTTTCTGCAAATGTATATTCTCTTGTGTGAAAATTAGTCGACGTCACTATTTGATAAATACGTTGAAAAGTGCACTTTCTTGAATATCTAAAATTTTCTCCTTACTTTCTTTAACAACCAATGGCTCTTTTTTGGTGATGTCATTGAGGGAAGACACAGTTTAGTGCATACACAGGTTTTTCTAGTCAGTTTATGAACCAATAATATAGTCACTGAAAGCAATTCTGAGAAAATTAGGTAGCGAAATTTTAAAAAAATGCAGGATATTTTTCGTGCACAAATCAGTGCCAATTCTTGCCTGGGAGGCCATCCCACTTTTCTTATGAATATGGAAATACTTAACAACATAATAATCAACAAAATAAAGTTAACTAAGACATAAATTAAGGCGCATTTTGGAGGGTCGTATAAAAAATCCATTGCGGTTTGTGTGCAGGAATATACATTGGCCTACGTAGAGTTTTACACCAGTCATACGTTAGGCATCGAAAATAACTCGTAAAAGTTGAGCAAAAATCTAGCAAGATGAAATTGGTGATGTCGTGTAGTTTAGTTTATGGTGGTTAATGGTTCATTTTTCGTTGATCTGCAATACTTCTAAAAATTGAAAGTAAAAAGGAGACGACAGATGGGTTCAAAAATGAAAATATTGTACAATTACTTAAGTGAAATTAAAAACATGGTTTTAGTTTGCACAGATCTGTGGTTTTTATCAAGTTAGACGTTCTTTGATAACACAGGTTCCTGGGTTTACTTTTATTTATTAGTTCCAGATGGTTCCCGACAACTTTCTGGATTTTGTTCGCTCTGACCTTGAAGCAAGGTTAATTGAGACAACGTGCGAGGGCGCGCAAATGCATTGCTGGCTCCGTTGTATGATGAGGCTAAATTCGGAAGGAGCACACACGAAAAACTTGGCTCCCCTCACCTTGAAAATGGAATACTCGTAAAAGTCATCAAATATGGACATGTAGACTTGCTTCCAAGTCGCTAACAAATTTGATTCCCACGCGCAACGATCACTGCCATCCACGTTGTGCATAACACACCATTCTAACTTTGTGCATGGATGTTGGTCTTGTCACTAACTCGCAAAACTTAGCCGATTATGTCAAAACCATTACCACGCCGATACACTTTGACTAAAGTTCACGGACAAAACACGACTACCATTCTAACGACTTCAAATTGCCATCAAGGCTATTTAACTTGAGTTTTTTACACTGACCACTAGCGCTGCCTAACTCCGTGAAATAGTAAGCGAAAAATCATGCAAACCAGCCTTTTCAACACTATACTAGTCACTGAAAAAACCTGCGATAGCTAGCTTTGCGTAGGGTTCTATGTTGTTGGTTGAAGCGACGGCATGATTATAGATGTCAAGTTTGCTTTTGTTGATTAATTAAAAGTCCCAAAATCCACAAGATGGTGTGTGCAATGCGAATGGTTTGGAGGTTTGGACTGAGCGGTGTATGGACTCAAAGTGTACTGAAAGAGATTACTCTGAGAAGCTTCGTATGCCGACATGTAAGGCTTCAACGGAGACGACCAGATGCTTTACTTCAACGCTTCTGGAGCAGGTAGGGTCAGCATTTGTCGATCCAACCATGAGGTGGCGTGGCAGCCACATTGAATTACCGATCGGCACTTGCTCTTTGCCGCATGTATACACTAATCCGATTGGACGCCATAACTGCGGTGGCACCGCACTCACACGCACATTCTTCAACTTGACGCGCGCGTGCATTTGGCAAATCACGACACCCTATTGGTCGAGGAGGCATGTAACGCGCGCGTATCCTGTCCACGAGCGTTGTGCCACCGCGGTAATGGCTTTTAACTCTGGTGGTCGAATTACACGGTAACATTAACGGCCTTGTAGGGCGTCTCTCATGCACCAAATTCATATTGATATTGAACACGAAGGCGTGATACCACTCTCTACATTGTCTGCAATTCATGTGTCATTTTTTTCTTTAAATGGAGTGGTTCCTTCTGCACCGTAAGAATTGACGTGCGCGGCTACTGACGATCGAACCCCGAGGGAGTTTCAGAAATGAAGAAAGATTTTCGATTAAATGCAAAGCAGGTTAAGTGCAGATTGCATAATCATGCATGCATATTCAAAACAAATCAAAGGCAGCCAAGACTTTTAACAATCATGAATTTTGTCACCCATACTTGTTGAAGTTGACTTTTTTCTCAAATTAATCTGTCGTTTATTGAAGCTCCGTAAGCTCCAATATTAGGTTAAGCTACTTCCACAATGTGGGTTTCACCTCACTAATTGGCAAGACCATTGGGCAGGTCATGGATGAAACAACTGAGAAATTCCCTGACAGGGACGCGCATGTGTTCCTCAGAGATGGAATACGAAGAACCTTCGAAGACTTTCGAGAGGAGGTGAGAATGTGCTCCCGATAAATTTCGTCAGTAACACACGTGGTTCGTGTTTTGAACGTCGAACTGTATTTGGAGAGATCAAACTTTTTTTGGTGCCTAGTGTTTGCAGGAAAGAGTACACATGCGCAGTTGTATATATCGTTGTATAACTTTCTTCATAGCTGTCGCTACAGTACAGGATTTGTTTTTCAAAATGACATATTCTAAAAACATTTCAAAGGGAGTGTTTTTTTACCAGCCTAACCTTTTAGTAAAACAAAGTCATCAAAGGCTGGTTTATTTTTGGTTGATTATGCAATTCAGTGTTGGGCCTCTGAATGGCCGGAATTTGGCGAAAAGATGCCACCACCTTGTACCTTGAACCTTGCAGATAAAAACTATGGAACGGTCCATTAAGGAATAAACGGGGATCCTGCGTGCATAGAACTGCTACGGAAGAACCAAAACTTGAAATCGGTAACGGTGACGCCGTGTCACATGCCAAATGCGCTTTCACTGCAAAGCCACTTTATTGTGTTCTGTTGAGTTTGTTTTACTTTGCACAGCAATAAGACTCATTGATAGTTATCATAATGTTTGAAGCCAAGTGTTAACAATATCGTGAAACTGTATGGATTCTGTCAATCCGACATACACAGTCATAAAAATACGTACATGCACATCATTTTGTATATAGAGGGCCTAGTAGGCAAAAATTGAGCAAGTCAATCCTTTGATTGGAACTTGAAAATGTTTGAGTTGAAGTTGAGTAACATTCATTTTGTTGAATTCCTTCTCCCTTTCCACACCTGTATCAGACTGAAAAGATTGCGCTTGGACTTCTAGCTGTTGGCATTAAGAAGGGAGACCGAGTTGGTATATGGGAGCCTTCAACTCTAGAATGGGTGCTCACACAGTTTGCCACGTCACGCATTGGTGCCATCATGGTCAGCGTAAATCCCGTCTACCGAGTGCATGAGCTGGAGTATGCTCTCAAAATGGTAGGATTTTGAATCAGTCTTGTGTTTTGTTATTTTTCCTCGAGGCTGCAAATCTGTTACCTTCAAGGAAGGTGGATGACGGAGCTGATTGATGCGTCCGTGAAATAGCTCTATGACGTATACGTTTGAAAAAAATGGGCGTAGCTTTCTTAAAATCAAACACCCCAAATCTAACAATAGTTTACAATTTTTGAAGACTCTCGGAATTTTGCAGATTTTTGCTGAACTAACATGGCGTTAAACATCCAGCGAAGGTGTTATTGTCATTTACTGCCTAAATAATAAGAATCTATTTCGAAACTAAAGGGGGCACTGGATTCGCCACTACTCCCAATTTTCTGTCTTTGATATTAAATTTCCAAGCCTCTTGCATTTTGCCTTTCTGCACGCTACTTCTGGTATGCTCCCGACTCCTGGCCTTTCAAATAGAATAACATACTTCCACCACTGACGCAGACTCGAAATTGATTTTCTTTTGCTGCGGAGCTGCCGGCATTTTTCTCGAGGGGAATGTCGCGGATAAAGAGATTGTCAATAAGTCATGGTCACTGCTGCATCAAGGCTTGTTACGATCACTGATTTCCAAATGTTCGCAGATCAATTCTGTTGATGCTTTTTCCATTAACCGTCACAGCAAATAACATGCAGTTCCAGAGGTGACGAAATGCAGCTCATGTTGTCATGAAACTTACGGGACACAGTATATTTTGCAACGGGAAAACAAGACCCTTGCCACACGCCGGCAGGATATTCTTTGGGATGGACCGAGGATAGATTAACAATGTGTAAAGCTAAAAAGCAAAATTGTATTATTTTGCAAGGTTCATTCCTTCAGATGCTATTAATCCAATACCGGTAAAATGCAATTTGAACATTCCATTATCAAGAGTCTGGGTCCTCGACATGAGACCTACGTATATGCATGTGTTAAGTACAACGATACCACTCTCAAACATTTCTCCTGTTACTTGTGTTACGATTTCAGTAATGAGTACAAAGAAAGTATGGCTTGCAATTGACAGGGATGTACTCCTGAAGTATAGTAAGATTTAGGGATTTAAATTTCTATATCAAATTTAATTCCTTGCTCATGTGCACGTAGGCAAATAACTTTCGAAGTCATATTTTTCCATGTTTAGTCTGAATGTAAAGCCGTCGTATGCGACAAAACTTTCCGGACATTAGACTACTATGCAATGCTTCGCGAAGTCTGTCCCGAACTTGAAAATGACAAGCCAGGACAACTCAAAAGTGCGAAGTATGTATATAAGTTATTTTTTTTATGTTTCAAAACAAAGTATAACATGACAGGATTATTTCAAGTTAAAGCTTACCTGTGAGTATCTCCAGCTCTATTGACGAATAGCGTCCAAACGTACCAGTTATTATTGCATCATTCTATGCTGAAAATAAAATTACCTAGGCCTATTCACACTACGGGGTTACGCATGGAAATCAAGACAGGGCAGATTTTAGAGTCTGTAGATTCTGCAGTTCTGCCACTTTTACAACCCTTTTATCTCAATACAGACTTCCAGCTTTACGATCCGTCATCTTCAGGGGCGAGGACAATTTGCCTGGGACGTTCAACTTCAATGACCTGTATCACATGGGCGGCAGCACTGAGGAGGAACAGAGGGACGACTATGGGAAAAGGACACAGTTTGATGAGCCCATCAATATAATGTTTACCTCGGTGAGTGAGAGCAAAGGTGAAATGCCACTTTTTGCCAGCATTTCACCATGCTCTTGAATTGATCATCATTCCTTCTAGATACCGGTAGTCAAACTGGTCGAGCTCGATGTAGCGTAGTGCAGCACGTTGAAGTCAGCGGGGAAACACTTCAGCAGACATTTTCAACCACATTCAAAACGAGGCAGCTTTGGTTTACCGGAGTCTGCAGTGCCTATTGATCGGACATCGACATTGATCGCGTCTGCTTGGAATTAATGCAATGCTTGTTGCCGTTCATCTGAATTTCACGTCGAAAAGAAAAAGTTCTCATTTGAGTTTCATGACTGAAGTTTACTTTAAAGCGAAAAAAACGGTGGTGGCAAACACGGTCATTTCTGAAAATGTGGGAGCTGTTTCTTACAGCACAAATCGTTAGTTTAATACAGCATATAACTATTTGTTTCCAATTACAGGGTACCACAGGTTTTCCTAAAGGCGCCACATTGACGCATCATAATGTTATCAACAATGCATTTAACGTAGGACATACGATGGGCTATCACGAAGAGGTAAATTAATAAAAAAGGAAATTAACTGAAAGTAAAGATTTCTCACATTTTTGTTTTGCAAACTTGCATGATTACAATTTGAGAAAATCAAAACATGACAGAAAAAAGATTGATTGCTAAACATGGTGGTAATGAAACTTTCCCATCCAATTACGTTGAGTTACGTGTACACATGTGCTTGAATTTTGGTTTCACATGTAGTTGAAATTACTTTCTTCTTGTTTGCAATAGCACCACCGTATTTGTGTTCCCGTGCCACTGTTCCACACTTTCGGCACGGTTTGTTCCTCGCTCTGTGGACTGGTGCATGGGGCTACTTGTGTTTTCCCTTCACCTGGGTTTGACGCCAAGGCAGCCCTCCAGGCAGTCTCCGAAGAGAGGTTAGCCTTCAGAATGGCAATTAATTGCATTCACCAATTGCATTCAGGGAGAAATGATTGAAGAACTAGCTGGTTTCCTTGACAATCATGAAACAGAGATTTCTGCAGAGAGATAAACTGCTTTCCTGGGGCTCTTCTCTCTCTTTCTCTCACCTGGTTTGGTAGGTTTATAAATTTGTTGTTTATCTTTTTAAATAGCAACCTATTCTCGGACGTAAAAGCATGCTTAAAAACTTCATCCTTAAAGGGCCATGTTGTATTCGGAGAGAAAACGGTAATGTGCACACAATGGAGGTGGCTACAGTCGCCCTCTTCTTCACGGTGGTCTGTGGGCCTATTTCTGTTTGTTCCACAGATGTACATCCCTCTATGGCACACCAACCATGTTCATTGACTACCTGAATCATCCTAGGCTGCCCGAGTGTAACTTTTCAAGTCTTTCTACGGGCATTCTGGGTGGTTTCGCCTTGTCCTGTTGAAACAGTGAAACAGTGCATGACCCGCCTCAACATGAAGAATATCACTGTAAGCTTGTGATATGTACACGGATGCTAGTTTTGGCAGGTTTAGCTATAGTATTCAAGCAAAGAGCATTGTTGGATGATGTAGAGTGCTGAATTTGCTGACAGCCTAGAGCCGATTGCACTCTTGCTTACACATCTGCTATGGCTTAACAGAGGTATCTCCAATTATCTGTCAAACTCGACGGGATGATCCTGTCGATAAGAGGGTTGGCACTGTGGGGAAAGCAGCCCCATACTGAGGTAAGGATAATCCTTCCTTGATTTGTTTTAAAGACGTCAGTTATAAGTATGAAGCTCATGGTATATTAAAGGCGGAGATCTACGGTGACTGAAGTATTTAATTATTTTTCTGAAATATTTAATCATTTTTAGGAATCCTCTTTTCAATGTTCCGTGAACTTCATTCTACCCGACTTTTCATTGTTTGATATTCGCAAGGGTATATCAACAATAAATGACGCGACCAATGTGAGTTTTAGGTGGTAGTACTCAGCGCTTCACACATTTATTAAGAGCATTCGGCTCCACCGTGAACATAAGAATGAAAATATAAGAGTGGAGTTTAACTTTTATGTGAAAGTCCATTTGCTTACTTGAATTACTTACTCATGGACGCTGCATTTTTTGTAACAGTTGAAGATTATCGATGTGCAATCTGGGGAAATCGTGCCACGCAACATGTCCGGTGAGCTCTGCAGTCGAGGATACACCACCATGATCGGCTACTGGAATAACAAGGAGAAGACTGATGAAGTTATCGATGCCGTGAGATGGTTCCACACAGGGTGAGTGCCTGTCCTATCTAACCGGTGTATCTGTTATCGTGCACTCCATGTGGTCACCTCTCCTTATTGGCGTAGCTATAGTCGGGACTTTTTTCTTCTCCAGGGATATTGCTGTGATGAATGACGAGGGCTATGTGTCCATTGTGGGACGCAGCAAAGACGTCATCATTAGAGGAGGGGAGAACATCTATCCAGTGGAGATCGAGAACTTTCTGTACATACACCCCAAAATCAACGATGTCCAGGTATCAATTAACAGTCTTTACCTGGAAATGTCGTGTTGCACCTTCATTTAGTTAGAGTATTTCACAATGAGCACACTTGGAGCGAGAAGGTTGCACAAGTTTGTAATTAAAAAGAAGAGGAAAACGAGAGGATATATCTCTTTCGTAACGTGCTGAAATGAGGACCGTCATGTTGCCTCCTGAATACAAGCGGCCGATTGTGGGAGACGTGCGACCCCCTCCAAACATCCAATCTGCAGTGCTGATGGGTCTAATACAGGCCGAATGGCTTGCAAAGTGTTTGTTTTTTTTTCAGGTAATCGGTGTTCCAGATGAGTGTCTTGGTGAGATTGTGTGTGCCTGGGTGAAGCTGAAGGAAGGACAAACAGCAACGGAAGGAGAAATCAAGCAATTCTGCAAAGGAGAGGTCAGTGAACTTTGTAATTATGATGACAATCGAGTTACTCGGCAATGATTTAGGACAACACATGCACTGGCCTATGCAAATCACCACCTTGTGGCTTGATCAATTTCCAATATATACTTGTATTATTTGTGGCCACAGCCAGATAATGTTGACGTATTGTATCTTTTTAGTTATCACACGAAACGACACGATCTGACAAGCTTAACTTGGCCTCTTCGATAGTCAGGCATTATGCTGGATTGATGTTGGTGTGTTTGCTTGGATAAGCCCAGTATACATATACGCTTCCTTGTTTTGTTTATCCGAGAATTGTTTTTAGTTTCGCTTTGCAACTAAATAGTGCAACACAAGTTCTAAAACAGTAAGTGAAACCTGTCAGTAACGTAATGCAAGAATAAATTAGAATGTAAAGTGATATAAATTGACAAACCACAAGACAAAATTTGTCTAGACAGAGTGATATTTAAGCTTTAGTTCACCAGAGTTCTGACCAATCAATGAAGCATACCGATTCTGGTATCTTCCACCGCAGATAGCTCACTTCAAAATCCCAAAGATGATTCACTTTGTGTCTCAGTTCCCACTGACCATATCCGGCAAAGTGCAAAAGTTCAAGATGCGGGACGAGATGAAGAGAATTATGTAGCACCTAGGTTATGGACTTCAATAAGGACAAGGAGACAATTTGCAACGTAAAATCTCTCTCCAAAATTCTAAAGGGTCTGAGGAGTCGAAAAATGATAATATTACCAAGCAAAATCGGATGGGTTGGGGATACTTGTACCCCTTATTTGTAACTGCTTTATTTTTCATACTTTTTTACACACGCCTTGAAATCATATTCGAAACTGGGTCCCTAGATCATGAAATGAGGGATTTCCAAACGTTTAGCAAGAAAACGAATGTGAATACTCTAACCTTAGGCCTTGCATCGGACAAATTGATGTTTCCGTATATAAGGAAATGGAGTTACACTTTAAAAGTCGGCATGCAGATGGTCTCAACTCAGCTTTGGGACCAATTAAAACAAACGCTGTAAATGAGAGTGTTACCAGTCATACCTCAGCAGCTGCTGTAATTCAGATCTATCAGGTGTTTCTTTGCCTGGAGTAAATACATGTACATAATTGTTTATTATGTACCGGTCCCTTTAAGCGTTCATTATCTCCCTACGAACGACGACAGTTGTAACATGGGACGATTGAAGCCTCATTAAGAGTTTTATTTTATTGTATGATTATATTTTTGTATGGGTTTGACGAAAAAAAATGTCGTATTTGAGGATCAAACGTAAATTACTTTTGGATGGTATTCACATAAAATTATTGAGTTCCATAAAGGCATACTCATTTTCACTGATTCATTGGTCTGCAGGATAACGAAAGCATTAGGAAACTGGTTACTGATTGACTCATAATCATTTGGACCTTTCCTTGAATTTACAGTTCTTTAATAAACACCCTTGAAAGTATTGTTTTGAGAGTTCTGTTAACTATGCTCATTAATTATAGTACCACCTGATTCTAAATACTTTTATATATTATAAATATTCATCACTAACTCAATTTTACGTAATTACTTTGGTTTTATTAAAAATATTCTGCCTGCAAATACAAGTTGATACCAACACTTTGTTCTTCAATTTATCCTGTGTCTTTCTGAAACATCAGTCTGTTAAACAATCGTGGTATACGGGATCAAGACGCACTACATTTACCTTACTCGCGCTCGTGTATCATGTTACCAGAGTCACACAACCTCTTTCATGAACTCCGTCGGGGTCACTGATCTGATCCACTATGAGGACGCATGATCCTCAAGTCAAAACGGGGTCAAATTACGCATTATACACCATTATATCTTTTTTTGTATAATACGGGCGTTTCACAATAGCGCGCCTCCAAGAGTTTGCAACGCGTTGACCATTCGCAATGCACAGAATCTGTCGACCCAATGTTTGGAAAGATAATGGAGATCAATGGGGTCGACAGATTTCCCGCGTTAGCCAACGCATTGCAAACTGTCGGAGGTGCGCTATTGTGAATCACCCGCAGATTGTCACAGATTGATTCACTGCTACATTAAGACTTGTCACGATTCTACCGCTTTTTTAATGTGTGCTTTTTGGATTCTGTTGAGGTTGTTTCTATTAAACATTGTCAGCAACCATATTCAAAGTGGCACACTTCAACTTTCACTTGGGTTTTCTCATACAGTGTTGCCAAAACTCTTGTTGAAAAAAAATTCAAATTCATTTAGTTGAATGCAGCTAGGGCCTACTATAGACTTCATAATGCCTGCTGTTCAATCTTTGTGAACAATTTCAGTGTCGTGGAATTTGGTCCGAAACTCAGAGACGGCGACGTCCGGAAATTGGGAAAGAATTCAGCTGAGTGTTCCCTATCGTGACGCACTGGAAGAAAAAACTCACCCCACGTAAACATTAAAAACTTTTTTAAAATTAATAGATTATACTAAATTTTTATTACCTCCACTGAGACACCTAACCACAAGACTGTTAGAAAATTCTGTTTGCATTTTGGGAGCATTTTAAAAGAGTTTATTTGGCACTTCAGAAAAAAAAATCAGGAAATCGAGCCAAAATAAAATTTCATCGGACTTTTGTAGCGGGTGAATAAAATCGAGATATTTGAATCAGAATATTTGGAGTTGGATGGAGTTTCACTTATAATGAAATCTGAAGTAGAGACGAAAGAGAAACTACAGACGAAAACTCCAAGTGCGCCACATTTGGGGCCGCGCCACGTTTTAGGGTACGGCAACGATCAAATCACACGCAGTTCAAGAGGTGACGAAAATGTGGTGCGTAGTGTACATTTTAACTTAAGAGACACATTATTAGCAGACATGTAACAGCCGTCGTTCTCGAGTGGACTGCAAATATTATTGCATAATTATGAGGATATTTTGTGAGTTACATAAATCCAGAATCTACAACCGGCGACTCCTTGATGGCGTGCTTTTTACTTGCACTGAAAAGATATTCCAAAACAACCTTTCAGAATCTCTTTCTTTAAATGCAGATACATCTTTATTTTACTTACATGCTTTTCAACCACTGAAGCTCTTTTGATACAGATTTAAGACTCTGCTCAGTACAATATTTTCTACTCTGATATCACGGGAAGAAATAGTATATTTTCTTGTGAGAACCCTGCATGGTATATTTTCTTGTGAGAACCCTGCATAGTATGTTTATTTTAGTGTCCAAAATGCACCTGTTGTGTTTCTGAGGGATTTCATTACACACAGAATACAAGAAAAGGTTCGGCTTTGAGCGGACTCGGATGTATAAATTAAATGATGTTTAACACTGAATCAACTATTGATAAAACAGCAACCGTAAATATTTTCCAAAACTGATGTAACAAAAAATAAAATCGATATCGAAACTGCCAATTTTCCCATACAACTAATTTTGACTCATAGCTCCACCGGTTTCCCTTTCTTCTCCACTCTCACCGTCCTTGATCCCAAAATAAAGCGAATTCATAGGATCTGTTCGAGTAGCATACATCATACTGGCACAACCTCGTCCCAAGAGTCTTTGGTACACGCCACACGCACGGCGCGTCACCAGGTCGAGGTTGCCCCATGCAACCCAATCGAAATTTGCACCCATTTTTTTTTTTACTGGGCAGGATTCCACAACGTCATAGAGCTCGCCAGTCACAAAGGGGGGATAAAACATCCCACACAGACAAAGTCATTTCGGACAAAATTCAATTCTGCAAGTTCCCGGAAATCCTAAATTCATGTATATTCAGCATGTAAAAGGCGGGGTTACTGAATTATGAAGCCTGTATAATTATACTTCAGCTGCTTTGTGCGCGGTGTGGTGAATACACATACGTGATACTGAACCGATATAGGGCCTACGTGGAAAATTTACCGGACAGGTTCCTATGCTATTTCCAGGACATTATGTCTAGGCCTGCAATCATTATAGGCGAGTATCTTGTACTGGGCTTAAAATCTTGTGCTACCCTTACCTGACCGAAACCAAAGCAGTAAAATGTGTGCGCGTAATGAGCATTTGTGATAGTCACGGTGGAGGGCAACCACTGATCTCTGTTATTTATACATTTCCCCCCTAAAATTCCAGACCTTCCTGATTTTTCCATTTGTGTATGGGCAACTCAAGAGTTTGTTCGAGGGCTGACACCATTACCGACCCGTTCTTTGGTTCTGACTGTTATTGCTTGGTTATCGAAAAGCACCGAAAAGTGCAAACAAGGTGATCAACAGTTGTTCCCGTGTAGCAATCCTACCCAACATGAACAGTTTACTTGAAATGACGGCATAACAGCTAGGGCCGCGCTGATGGCATACTGCTTAGCGGGTCACGAAGTTCAACTTTCCATATTTGTCGGCTTTCTCCCAATCAAATTTCTCTCGTCCTACGGACAGAAAAAAGATAATTGTAGCTTGTTTCTGCAAGAGTTGCTCCCATCAGAAAGAACAAACTTAGAGAGTAATGTAAGTTTTGAAGTGAAAAATAGTGATTTCTTCTTACCGGCCTCTTTGAGGAATTTGGCCACCTCGAAGTAGCCGGCTGCTTTGGCCACGTCCCTTGCTGTCTTCCCCTTTTGGGACTGCAAGTTTATGTCAATGCCGGCCTCCACAAGCCACTTCACGGTCTCTGCATGATGAAAACGGCGAGTGAGGAGTTGAAATTCACAATAGCATAACGAGAGAATTGAAAGAGGAAAGTGAAAAGTGGGTGAACGCGGGATGACATTTTGACGGCACTGGCTGATGTTGTAAACTTTGACTCCTGGCCAATCCGGGGGCAATAGATTGAAGCCACCTCTCAAAAGGAACATTTCAAATGGGAAAAAAAGGTGATAGAAAGACTATAGGGGGACTCTTCCATTTCCTTCCTTCCTAAAGCGTATAAAAGCCCCAAAATTTAGCCTCACACCTTCGGCAACATGCGGTGACAAAGACCACAAAAAGTTACAAATAGAAATTTCGAAATACTTTCCTCCTCCTCATATAGCCCCCCCCCAATGTTGTCTTGGATCCACTCTCGATTACATCTTCCGTTAATAAATGCAAAGGTGTTTGGACATGTATCTAGTGCTTTAGGTCCTCCTTCCGGCAGTTTCTGCTGACTAATTTACGCTATTAACAAAATACTATTGACATCAACCTTATACCTGAGTAATATTCGTTTATCTTTGTTCCTTTATCGGAGATTTCCCCCCATGCTCCGCTCCTCGTTTAACTGATCATCTGAGTGGTTTATGGTTGTAGTTGAGTCACAAATGTGCCAGGGATATGCACTTTTACCACTAAACTAATCAGGCCCGTACATAATATTAGACTTTTCACGTATGATGTTACGACCACTCGGCAGTATATGACTTGCACGTGTTCATCATTGATCCTGATAACTGCGACTTTTAGGATAATTCTGATGCTTGTAATTACCATCATTGTGACAGTTCCAATTACAATCGTCACCCTGTTTAAGTTGTCGTTATAAAAAGGGGATTGCCGAGAATATACATGTATAGGGGAAGTAAAGAAATTTAACCGGGATGGTCTAGTGAGAATTTTTTTTTTTTAACGTAATCGATCGGCGAGGCCAAATGGAGAAGTGCACAAAAAGCACACTATGTGAGTTTTTCTGACTTCCCTTTCCTGTTCAGCCCATCATCATGCAGTGCTTTTATTTCCTCTTTTCACTTTCCATTTACTGGATGCTGGATACAATGAGGACCGTAGCCACAAGCCGGACAGCCAAATTTTAGCCAAGAGAATCCATACTCACTGAGGTGACCGTTCCTGGCCGCGGCGTGCAGCGGCGTGCAGCCGGTGATGTCCGGCTGGGTCAACTCACCGCCGCGCTGGGAAAGCAGCTGTAGACACTCCAGATGTCCGTTAGCGGCCGCCTTGTGCATGGTAGACGTGCCTGTGTTGTCCTTCTCACAGGGGCTCTGAACAGACAAAAAAGCAACAGACTAGTAGGTGTCAACAACGGGGTAATGTTTTGATAAACAGAAAGAACCGCCAAGGTTTCTCAAATAGTGTGCCTGATGTGATGAGGAAGGATAAAAAATAATTATAGCCAGTTTTCTTATTTCGTTTCATTTATTTCAGATTATATGAGGTTATGTGGAACGTCTCCACATATTTTAACTTTCCAAAGAAAGAGGCGAAGCATGACGGGTGCAGTCGAACATACAAGAAGGTAAAATTATGTACACTGTTTTCTGGAGGCGGTGTATATGCTGCCCGCTATTGGCGTATAAACTTGGGCTAGGGGATATTTGTTCTGAAAATGCCCGTCCACATATTTCATCTACACGAGAATCCTCTCCCCCACCACCAAAGAAAGGTATTAATTCCATTTCTAAAATGCGACACTTACAGCTTCTTGTAAATCAAATCAATAATAATAGGAATTGACAAAATATCTGAGCGGGGAGGGAAACTGGTTCCCTCCCCTTTGATACACCACTGCTACCCTTCTCCTGATCATTCATTGTCGGATCAGTATATTTATGGAAATAGCCTGCACCCGGAGGTGGGGGGGGTTTGAAACTTCAATTGCTTGTTATAGCAAATCTACAAGGCTATTTGGTTCACTCCATTCATTAGGCGGATTCTGGCTTCAGTGAACCAACGTCTGATCACTGATCGCAGTCCCTCATGATCCGCGTGAATCACATAGGCCCGACACCTCTGTCGAAACTAGGACAAGTCTGACGGGTTATTTACTAGGTCCGAAAACACTTTCCTTCACAAACTTCCCTTTCTTCTTGCACATAATAGGCCTATATATCTTCACCAAGGCCTTATTCCATTGGTTTCGTAGAATTTGACCCAGAACCGATATTTCTTTTTTTCAAACATGTTGTTAACATTACCCCCATAAAACGGGCGCAAGCGTCAAACTTTCAAATTCGTAACTCGGTCCAGCACCAGAGGCCTTATGACTAGGCTGAGTGGTTGCAGGAACTGCCAGTCTCCACCCATAATGAGGTTGCATGACTGCTGTCCCAAGGTATCACCGTGGCCTTTTTTCTCTCTCAAATATTAAGACTTGGACGATGCGTCTTTGCTCTCTCGTGAATATTATTGATGATGTTGGAACCATATCAGCTTGTGCCTACGAACAAACTACACAGTGCATACCTTAAATCATTGCTAGAGCAGAAGTTTTACCCACGCCACATAGGTGTGCAGTGATTCATTATGCAGCCCTCATTTTGCCGAAGGTAAAACTAAAAACGACTCATTTCAGGACAAAGAAAAGAACAAACGATTGCTATTTTTACTTTTGAAAGGAAACGTTGTCATACTCAACTGTTTAAGGTCAAAGGGTTTTGATTCCAATTAAAATTTATTTAATCTAATAAAGCGTCCAAACAATGCCCTATACAAGGCAAATTGGTTCGCATAAATTACTTTGGAGGCTTCTAAACCTCTAGGTACAAAGGTGGTATGCGTTTTTCTTCATATCAGAAACATCCATTCTCATTCAACACTGGCTGGAGCTCTTTCCACTGCAGTTAGTGAATACAGCCATGTAACGAAACCTGATTACGTGCAAAGTGCAACTCGCTCACGTACTGACAGAGAGTCCCGTATCCAAATGCAGTACAATAGTACATATACTTGTATTTTTTAGCGTCGAAAGTAAAATATCATGCAAGCACATTTATTTTAAGGACACAACTGATATTGAAAAAGAACTGACAAAGTAGAAATTGCGTCATTTTGTAGCTGTTTCCATTTCATGTCCAACATGGCTTTGCGGTGGAGTGTGTTCGTATTGCTCTGGTTTGGTGGGTACGCGTACGGCACAGGCGAAGGTACGGCTGGAACTGGCTGCAGAGAAGGTTCGTATCGACACTTGTGGGCTCTGCAGTTTCCCTATTTCCCGTTTTACTACGGTTGTTTTCCTAGTTCCAGATTTTTCGAGTTCCGGATCGCTTGATATAAAAACCTACATCGTTTTTGTGTTGTTCTTCAGTAATTGAAGAACAACACAAAAAAGCTAGGTTCTGTTCTACATTCCCAAGACAAGTTCTGCTTGAAAGGTGAAATGCAGGCTTCCAGTACAAAATTGGTTCTCAGGAAATCCTAGAAAAGAAATTTTGGCCAGATTTCCGTCGGCTCTTTTACATTTTTGAACTACTCGTCAAAAATTGCGGGAGCCAAAACCTCGACAAAATTTACAGGGCGATAGATCACTCACTAGGTGTGATTCCAAATACATTTGTCACACTCAACAGTCATATCAACAGTTTCATCTAATGTCTGTTTAATCAAAATGACTTGTAGAGTTTCCGTTTGTTTTTAAATTGGCAAAAAACATGAACGCTTATTATTTCCTTGGTTCTTATATTTGAAGGAGCTCCAGTAGACAGCAAAGGCCGTGAATTTATCTTCGCCATACCAAGCCCCGCTGAGGAGATAACCGACAACTTATTCCCGTTTGTCATAGTGACGAGCGATGCCGTTGGACTGACAGTCGTCAATGTCTCCCATCCCGTCGACCACATCAGGCACAGCGTGGCTATTGGCTCTCGCGAGTCGATGGTGCTCAATCTGACTGTTGATTCAATCGCCAGGGGTTCCGGATTCTTTGGCGGTGCTGTCGTCATAAAAGCCAGTTCTGACGTCAGCGTGAAGTGCCTCCTGGAGCAACACGGTCCCCGTTTCCACACCGAAGGCTTTTTAGCGATTCCAACCGATGGCTTAGGGACAGATTACTTTGTTCTGACGTTCCAGACTCACTCGACAATGTATGGCGGGAATCAAGACGCCCGACACTATTCCCAGTTTGTCGTCACTGCAACACGCGACGACACGCAAGTGATAGTAGAACTCAGCGCGTCGGCAACATTCAACAATAGACAACGCCGTGCTGGGGAACGCGTCCAATTTGTGCTAAACCGGGCTGAGTCAGCCCAAATAAGGAGCATGAATGACTTGACAGGCTCCAAGGTCACGTCTTCCCATCCGGTGTCACTGGTGGCTGGAAACGACTGCTCTGATGTTACAGGGTTTTTCAACTACTGTTTCTATCTGGTAGAGCAGCTGCCTCCTGTCGCAACATGGGGCCGCAGGTTCGTCCTTGCCCACTGGGGTCCAAGCAGTTCCATCTTCACCTGGAGGATCCTAGCCCCACACCAGAATACAACGCTGACGTTCCAGGACAACCACTTGAGCCAGGTAACCCCAGGCACTCCAAGATGGTATGATTACAGTATGTACGACAAGAAAGCCGTGTTGTTAACTTCCAGCAGAGCGGTACTGGTCGTGCAGTACATTGCCAGCCCAAAGTCGTCAGCCTGTGTGCTGTGTATTCCTGTAGAGCAGTATGCCTCTGAGGCCGTGTACCAGCGAGTAAGTCACAGCAACGCGGTTGTACAAACAGCCAAAAATGGCCTTGCCAACATCGCCATGTCCTCGCCCCTTACCATTGTCTACCCATGCGACGGTGAGTCCGACATCCCGATCAACGGTCTTGAGGTGGCATTGATTCTACCGGACGCCCCTGGACGTCTCCAGGATGAAACCCATCGATACTGTGCCATTGAGTGGTCGGACCCAGTGCTGAGGGACGACTTGTGGGCCGTAGGTGCCTCGCCAACCGGAACCCATTTCTCGTCAGTGGTCCTGACTTACGTCGGAAGTAACATAGTCAGTGCATATCCAGCCGGCGTGCTTCTCGAGTCGCTTAGTTGTACGCCCGCTGCCGGAGCAACCACACCAAGATCAGAAGGTGGTGGCATCGACGTAGACGCATCGACTAGGATATCGACAACACAAAGTTTAACAACAGCAGCAGTTGCAAACACACTGGGTATGCGCTTCAGTAACAAAATGAAACAAAAGAAAAAGATAATACACGTAATAATAAATTAACCTAAAAAATGAGGTCGCAATCACCTGCAGAATCATTACTCACAACACGAATTCGAGTCGCACAATGTACATGTACATACATGTAATCAATGTGTGTCATTAGAATCCAAATTAATTGGGAATTCAATGTCAATTTCTAATATTATTATCCTAGCAGCCTTGGTCACCAAGTGGGTCGAATCAGATGGAGACACTCTTGGCAACCCGTATGAGGGCGCCCCAAGCAAACCGTTTACCACCGACGCCAATGTTGTGCTCGTTGTGTGTTGTTCCGTTCTGTCTGTTATTGTGGCACTGCTGGCAACGTGTTACGCCGTCCAGTGTGTCCGGTATGTGGATTTGTCACATTTTAAGTCGCTTGTTGGTTTCTTCCACTGCTCCGTTTATGATGTCTTGCATCTTGTTGCGGTCCTCCAGAACCTTCCACGGCTAATATTTCACAAATTGTGAACCAAAATTTATAATGCATATTTTTTCTTTAATTGTAGCCGCAGGTGCCGAAGAAAGAACTTTACCCATGCAGCTGGGATGCGCTTCAATGTACGTAGTGGAACGCTACAGGGTGCGCAACGACATCAACGCAATGTCGTTGACAGCATTTATTCCTCCTTACCAGACATCCCACGCCCTTCCGAAGAGACACGGGCGATCCCAAGCGAGGCTCCAACAACGCTAGAGGGGGTACGTCCGTCAGGTATCACACAGCGAGTGCCGTTCAATTTCGAGGAGGATTCCTCAGAGATCCGTAGAGACAAACCAGCCCCGACGTACGAACAGTCTTTAAATAGTGGCCTCGACAGAGGGCCAAGAGACAGGGGACACGGAGTGAGACACACCTACATGGCCTTACAGGCGTGAACACGACATGGAAAAATATGGCACTTTCAATTTTCAGATTTGCATTTAACACTCTGGAAAACACGTTTCCAAAGCCTTACCTATTCTTGCTAATTGTCCGGTTCGTACTTTGCGTTAATGCGAAAGCGAAGCGAATTTGACGTCGCTTAAGTTGAAATGTTTTCAACTTCCACGAATTCTCAACGCGAATATTTGATCTGACGGTTACTTTCGAGCGGAGTATGAACAGGCCTTCAACTCTAGCAAAAAATAGCGCAAAACAGTAATTATTGGGCCTGATTATTAACACCTGTAGCATGCACGTACGTAAGACAAAAGAATCAGATTCGGCTTTTACAATTCGACTTTTAATTAATGGAAGCTTAACGATAATTTTGCAACGCTTGTTTAAATAGCTGCCTACTTACATGAGAAATTTAGACAGGCAGAGACCCAACCAAATATGTAAGAATACTTAACATGTACATAATATTATTACTCATGAAAAACAGGCATTTTGGCTTTAAATCCGAAGCTGAATGCACCTTTCCGATCTCGACCTTTCAATGACGTAAATATTAGGCCTACGTTTTGTGAATCTACGTTTTTCAACCCTTAATAAGGGAAAAATCTCTTTGATGATAAAAGTTACCCGCGTACCAATCCCTCGTCTGTGCACAGTCACTGTTTTTCTGAATGATCATATGGTTGTAGCATGTTGATGATGCATTGATGTGCACTAAATTGATGATGCATTGATATCTTACTCAAGACTAGCCTACGTTCAAGGCGCACGTGGTACCCCGGATGATATTACAGGTCGGTGGTCGGTGGCAAAGCTGCGCAACTAGCGCTCGGTGTTAGCAGCTTAGCATCCGTGATTGGATGCCACGCACGCCTTGACTTAAAACTAACTCAAGACATAAAAGGGACGCACAGTTTGCAAAATTCCAAGCCCTGTCCTCTTATAGTCACAGTGAAACTATACGGGATACATATTTAGCACAAAAATTATACATACGGAACGAGCGCTATATTACAATCCCATCAGGAAAACACTCTTACAGCGTTGGTTAATTAAGTAAATCAATATGTAACCAGACTTGATCAAGTGAAATATATCTGGGGTAAATAAACATATTTACAATATAACGATAACCAGGAGAAAGATATACTTCTAGAATGATTATTCTTCATCGTACTAACTTAAATTTGCCCGCTGCATACCGTTTAAAGTTTTATAAATAAGAAAGGCTTGTACTCTTTTTACATTTACCAACATTTGAAATTGCTGACGACGCGGTGTAATGCTAAATTAGTTTTATTACTGTGAAGTTTGACTGAGTTGTTCTTGACCCTTGTATCGGTGGAGGGGGAACAACCATTTGACCCTGGAGACATGCTGCTCATTCTATTTATATTTTGGGAATTGAAAGCTATATCATCCTAGAAACAGCACTACACCTTGTATGGGATGGTGGTTTAGCAGATTCTATCACTGCTGAAAAAAATGGATAGTCAGATTTAGGAAATTCCATTTTGCGCCCCCCCCACCGGACCCAAGATGAGAATACGCCACTGGACTCTAGGCTATTTCAGTGGAACGTTTCTTTTCTTTGGGGACCCTAAGTGGACTCGATGAAGGATCAGGTAATTAATTTGTGACAGTTAAGTAGGTCAAATGACACCGTAGCATTTTTTTGACAGTTGGCCATGAATAGATACAAACGAAATGACGAAAGATTGTGCGATCAATGTATAAAAATTAATGTTAGATGTGACGACAGAACATCTGGCTTCTTTGCTGAGGAATGTGTAAAACTACATCCTTGAGATGAGTGTATCATTAGATCTGTATAAATATAGCTCATATAAAAATCTATCTTAGCAAACTCCGCGTCCCTACCTGACCGTTGTCAAGAGCGATGTTCAGTTGCCGGTAGTCGCCATTAAACGCTGTTGCCGGGCAACGGATATGCATTAAGGAGGCAACAAAATGAATTATATTATTACATGGATCATTAGAATACGGAAAGGCACAAGGGGCATAGTGTCATGTGGCAAGGGACGTTCGTTGATATAATTATTTAGAAAAGCATAGAATAACATTAAGAATCTCTACAGTAAAATATGCACGCAACATATGTAATCTTAAAATAATCTATAGTAAAATCGTATATTCCAAAGAAATTAAACAGACAAGGATGAAACGTGACGTAAGACAGAAACTGCAATTATTTGGAAGTCAGAATCTTCACTTACAGTTTAAAAACGTGGTAACTCAATGGTTTATTTTCTATTTCGAACTCTGTCTCCCTTATTTTTTTTATTATGCTTATTTGTGATTGTAACGAGATTACTATTATTTGTCTTTGTCTTTTCATTTTTCTATTTAAAATTTGCATTTGGATAACCTTCTTTGAATTTCACTCTTTCAATAAGAACATCATGGGAGCAAATCTTCTGTGCCAATGCATTTGACGAGTTAATAAATGAAATTGGGTAAATAAGGTTGAGTATTTATGTACATAGCTATACAGTCAACTCTGAACGGTGGATTCGATCTCGTACCTCAACGCATTAGTAAAAAAAACCCTACACTTTTGTTCCCTTGTAAGCTGCACAATGCTTGATCGCTGGGACGCGGTTTAGGTTGGAGAGATGACTCATTTAGTGGAGATTCTTGAATCCAATAGGCTAGGATACTTGCTTCCTTGGCCATTCCAATAAAAGAATCTAGCTGGCTCCATCTTTTCGTTGTGTCTCCTTAACACTACCGAGGCATGCTATTGAAACGCAAAGCTGTTTGGATCATACACATGCTTCGCATCTCAGTGAAAAAATATGCCTGAATGTTTTTATTTTTTAACCCGATGAGCGACAGCTCCAGGTTTTGGGGTTACAACAATAGGATATCTTGTAACCAATATCTTGGACTGATTCTGACTTAAGAATTCCAAAAAATTGTATAAAATAAATAAGATATTCTCCAGCGTGCAGATAAACTTGCGAAATTATACAAATTTTCCGCCAGTTAAAATTGTCAAATATACCAGGATATAATATCTAACGTAACCAGACAACTCAATCAGACGGGCATACTGACAAAGAAGGATCTATCCCTTTCTTAGAAAGGTTTCCAGAAGAAAATGGACTAAGAACGCGATTTTGATCGGATGACAAGCAAACTGTCTACAAAGAACTTCATTTGGGGTGTTAGTTAAATCGACGGGCACCGCAATAACATTTCCACACCTATCGCATATTAACCTGTTTGTCTAAAACTGAAGCTACAATCTATGGCCTATGCCTGGTGAGAGCACCAGAGTACTTACCGGCTTCGTGAATGTTTACCGTAATAACCATCGTGGCCTGAAAAACAGGAAATACACCGTAAATGCAGACCCACTCAGAAATCCTCAGTGCCCAAATCTGCGTAAGGTACGCCGGCACTGTGAAATATTTCGCAAAGACACATGCAGCGTCAGATGCAAGCACCGTCCAGAACGCCGACATGAAATGGCGTTTGTCTTCACATCGTTTTTATAGCCCAGCAAGCTATGCTGTAGCATCCATGGGCGTCCGCATCATTAGCATCAGCCATGCGCATCTCATTATAGATTCAACCAGCGAAGATCGTGGCGAGATGAAAATCGACGACTTTTTCACGCTGTGCCTTTTGAAGCTTCGGTTAGTTTTCAATTGTATGACCAGATCTTCCAAAATAATAAGGCAAAAACATGTTTGATAATTGCCAATTCTTTTTATTTTTATTCAATTTCAGTCTGTACAAGGAGAATTTTTCTTGGAAAGATTTCCATATACAGACATTACTTGACAACCTGTGACAAACCCTATGGTAATGGTCTGAAAAATTGTCTATTCTTAGTAACTGCTTCGAAATTTTTCCTGCTAAAATTCGACTCTTGAGGACATGTCGCTTTCCGATAGCATGATATACCACAGCCGGGAAAAATTAGTGATGTCCACATATAATTTTGATATGTCTTTAATAGAAACAAATAAATTATAATAAAAAGTGAAAAAAAACCTTTAAGATTCAGATATTATTTTCTTTGTGTGAGCAATATTTCTTGGTAAATTTCACGCACAGATATACCTTGTCTGATTCATACGGGTTTCATTAGATACAAACAGCTGCAAAAAGGAGCCTTACTTTACTTTAAACTGATGCATAAAGTACATCCATGTTTAAAGTCATCTTTATAAAAGCTTCAGCACTTCAATTTTTAAATTCACTTTGTACTTGTTTTTGTGTACGGCTGTACATATACAGTTTTAATATTCATTCAAATTTGCTGCAAGGAAATGAACACAAAATGAAATAACATAGACTTCTGGTCTGCTGATATGAGAAGTGCTTCCTTTGCACCTGTATCTCAGTCCAATCTGAAAATGTACAAAACCCCAAGCAAACTATTTGGCTGGAACATAACCTTCAAAACGGAAGTTGTTTTCTTAAAAATATTCAAAAATGCCAGAGTGACGAATGAAATATTGACAGATACACACAGCTAACTCGTCCAGAGTTCATCCCAACTGCTTACACCCCCTTCCCCAAATATGCCGTCGTTGATGCCCCACCCCCAAAGTTTTCATGCATAAATGAGTTGATCATGCAAAGCTAGCCCTAAGCCCACTCATTAGACACAGTATGTCTTGGGCAGTGGTATTGTAAAGGTGAGAAGAAACTGACTATAGCTACACTCCAAGTGAATTATTCAGATCAACGTATGAGAAACGAAAGGTTTCCATCCAATTTTAAAGTCCATCTCAGCATATAATCAGACATGAAAGTCACAAAGTGCTATGCATAAATAACACGCAAAACGATAAGTCAGTGAAGGCTTTTAATGATCAACTTTTCGGTCGGATTTTGTACAAAATTATTTAAAAGGCAATGCTACTTGATTATCAAGCATGAGCAGTTCTTTTCAACTCATGTGGAAGCAGGTGGCCTCGTGGCCATTCTTCAGTGTTCTTTGGACAAAGCGGGGCAGTAGCGGGGCAGGATGCAGCTGTCCTGGTGGAGTACAGTGCCTGCGGGGCACTGACAGCGTGGTGTGCAGGATGAAGTCTGGCAGGCAGGCCCACGGGGCTCGGGGTCCTCGCATGTCGGGAGGCAGGCGGGGCCACAATGGTCGTAGATCATCCCCTCGGGGCATCGGATGCCTGAGAAGAAACACAGAGAGACAGATTTTTTTGGGGGGGGGACATTATAAATGTTTTCATGAAAGGGATGAGCATGTCAAAATGGGACCTACGATGATTTTGGGCTTCTTTTTTAACTGTTTTACATCGTTCTCAGCATTCTAGAATGCCACAATAGGCAAAACTTCATTAATATCGTAACTTTTATGATTGAAGGGGCCAAACTCTCAACATGTCAGGGGCTTATGAAGGTGAGGTTCAGACCTCTCAGATCAGTGAATTTAGGGGCTCAACTGAAAAGCTCATAGAGGCAAAAAGGTGAACAACAAATCAATTGAAATGCAGTGTCTGGGGGATCATGTGAAAAGTAGATGATAAAAGCATTGTTTATTTACTCCATTACGAACTATTTCTGAATGTGGCCAAACTATTTTAACTGATTAAAGAATATGAAACTTCTAGATTTCAAAGGTAAACAGACTTCTGGTTAAATATCTGTTCAGCAGAAATGCAGCGATCTGATTATATTTTGACTGTTTGGGAATAATTTTTTGAATGCAGGTTGCAAGTTGAACTCACTGCATGCGTTATTTGAGGTCCACTGGATGGGGACGTTGTTGCGCTGGCATTCGTACATGTAGGCCGTGATAGCTTCACAGTGGCAGGGTTCGTTGGAGCTACAGCTGCAGGAATCCTGCATGCACCATTCGAAGTATCTGGTGGGGCTGACCACCGGGTGACATATCTGGGTTGAAAGCAAGATGGGCCTTTCAAATATCGACAGATACTACTGAGTTGAACTGTATCTCTTGTTTGTTACTGCTTTATTGTTCAAGTACACGGTACTGTTGCAACAAATATTTAGCGTTAACAATTTCCATAGTCTGTGATTGCCATTTCCAAGGTTCCTGCACCTAAAGGACAATTAAATTCCATGACTTTTCCCATGACCCAATGACCCAATCATGCAATTTCTTGGATTATTCTGACTTTTAAAGTTGGGAATAAAAATCAAGCATTTTATGCGCTTATTTCTGATAATAGAAATCACACACAGTGTTTGGAAACGTCCCTGACTTTTCCATGACTAGTTATTTTTACAAAATTCCATGACTTTTTCAGGCTGCACTTCTATTCCTGAATACCAATTTCAATAAAAAAATACAAAATGAAATATCTTCCTGAAATTGTGCAACAACACCCTCACATGGGCAGATCAAGAACTATTTTTCAAGGGGGGAAGGTGATGCGGAACATTTTTTTTGGGGGGGGTAGCAAAGTTTCGTAATTTCTGTATGTAACTTATCAAGGGTATAATATAATTATCGGCCAGAATACAAACTTTTTCAAATGACAACAGTCCCATACAAAGTTGGATTGTAAGAATGCTGACCCTTGGTGGAATTTTGTTCAAGATTTATGATGCATTTCTTACGGTTTGCATTGTGTTTTTCATAACTTCATGACTATGATGTGGAGCGATATTTGCTGGCTGTGGCCCAGGGCTGTTTGAGAGCTCCATAGATGCTCAACCTCAAAAGGTGTGTGTTTGTGTGTACAAACTCAAGTTTGGGAAGGAGGGCAGATGTCATGTGATACGACATGCAGAATTTGCCTCGACATGCACAAACATCACCTGTATGTGTTATGACACATGCAATCGCAGCACGGTAACACAATTATCCGCCTCAAATGGTGAAAGTTCTCACCTGGAATGATCTGCGCCTGAAGATGCTGCACTTCTTCCTGATGTCCCTCAGGAAATTGAAGTTGAGCCCCGCACAGGCCGCCAGTCTGTCGGTGGAGATGGCGCCAAAGGCCAGCCGGCTCTTACTCCTGACCTTGGGCACGGTGCAGTAGCGGTAGCCGTCCACCTTCCAGCTGTGGGTGAACTCCCGGGCGGAGCGCGCCGGCAGGAACTGCCTCGTGGTGCGGTCATCCTTCCGGTTGCCGTTCATGTTGCCACAAAGGCCGCAGAGCTGGCCGGCGTACGTGCCAGGCGCTGTGACCTGTATGGCGCCCAGCTGGGACCAGCTGACGATCACGCCGCGGTCTGTCTGGATCTCGATGCTGCTCCCAGCGATGCCGTCCACACCTGACGAGTTGGTCTGAGCGATCATGACATTCATTGGCTCGGCATGGAGGTATGGCAGTTCCACCGGAACACCAGTAACCTGACCCAAATGTTTCCAAAATTGAATACCCTTCAGGCTGCTTCCACATGTACAATAAGATCTTGGCATACTGAACAGATTTTGTCAGTATCTATAAATCTCATTCTGATTGACAACCCACCTTGTTAAAATGCTCAAACATCTTGTCTGAAGGGCCATTCTAGTTGGCCTTCCGTTTTAAAAGATTCAGTCCCCAAAGCTGAGACATTTCAGCTCGCTTCATCTCCTGCTAGACACACTAATTGTGCCACATCTGAGGTCAATGCTTGTGGAATGTTCATACATTTGTCACCATTTTAAGGCGAGTAAAATTTCACTCAAAATCATAACTTTTTCAAATTTCTGTTTTTGAGTAAAATGGACAATGCTGTCTGATGACAATTCGGCGAAGTCAATTTCTAAGGCATTAGACAGTAGATTTTCAAAAATTTCACAAAAGTTTAGAATATATATTTTCTCAAGAGTTGAGTTTTCAGGCTGCGTTTACAAAAGTTATCCTTCTAGAAAACTGTGGTGAAATACAAGGGCAAACATTTAAAACAAATTTAAAGCTAGAGATGGAGACAGAGACGCCTCCACGGTGTCCCATTGCACACCTTGACTGAGCCATCATAGGCAATCTCCACCTCCACACAATCCAATCGCAGCCACACAGCCCACTTCTTGATCTTCTTCTTGGTGGCCTCGTACTGCACCTCCACGCTGAACTGGCTCCCCGTGCAGTCCTGGCTCAGCACGTAGCGGCAGTTGCCATGGTGCTCGTACCGGTTGAAGTCGTAGGTGATGTGCCCGCCGTCTCGCGTGATGGTACAGTTCTTAGAGGCTGATTTAAAAAAAAAAATTTAATCAAGTTACTGACGTTAGGGTTTGTTGTGGTCATTTGAAGTTCACGGCCTCAATCGTGTCATCCTCCTTGAATTGAGCATGTAAGTAGGAAATGACGACATTTTTGGCAGACTTGGCGCAGAGAAATAGGCGATCCATGAGAACGTAATGACTGGTCTGCACAAAATGAATGCCAAAATGATTGCAGGACATTACTAGAAGAGCTCCTGAAGACCAGGTGTGGTGAAAATTATAATGATATTGGAATTATAATGATACTGGAAAAAAATGGCCGGGTTATTCTGCTCCTTTTAGAGTCGAGGGGACCGTACAAGAATGGGCATTCCTAATCAGGCACGTTTATCAGTGAGTCCCTCACAGTGATAAAATCCGCAACTTTCTTGACGGTAATCCATACATTACAATCCATCACATACAATATTACAAACACATAAAGTCATCACATGCAATATAATGAAAAGTACAGGTGCATTTTTCATCTCTGATGAACTGACCTGGCAGGCACTGTGGACAGCAAGCTCCTGGCGCTTTATACTCGTACTCATCCTGTATTGTAATTAGGGCAAGAAATGAATCAAATGGCAAGGTGATTTTGATCTGACAAGCTTCCGTGTTAATATGGTAGATCTCAAGACTTTCCTTCCTAGTCACTGATTGTCCAGCACTACTTCGATAGCAGAGAGCAAGCCGAGCCTGTTTCTAGTTTGCTTTTCATGAGCAGCTATTAAGACCAGACCAGATGGTCCTGTCAACACACTCTTTTAGTGTGCCTTTAGCACAACGGTTAAAGTGCTACAGCCTTTCCCCTGCAGTGGGTGTCAGTGGGTGGGGGGATGCTTGCCTCTTAAGTACAATTGAAAAATTTATAAAAAGGAAGCAGAAACAAATAACAGAATTAAAAAAAAATTAAATCAATAAAGGGGAGACAAACGGAATGAAAATCATTGATTTCTTTGAGTATACATGTACCTAGAAATTGATCTTTTATGCCGATGAGAGCTTTATTCCCTCCATCGTAAATTCCTGGCGATGCCCATACCCCATTCCTTTGTCTTCACTACTGGTTAATAAAAAAATTGTTGGAATATTCTGAACAGTTTTCATAATTACATCGGCTTCATCTCAATAAGCAGGTGACATACCTTACTGCACTTGAGTGCGGGGCACATCTTGATTTGGCACACTGGGACACCTTGCACACAGCGACAAGTGGAACACTTGAAATCCCACACATCGTTTGCCTGGACAATCAAAGAAAATGAAACGTTGCTCCAGTCAAGGTCGTAAAATGGAAAGCAAGAGCTGGGCAGAATCTGTCCCTAAACATGTGCTGTGCATGTTGAGAAGTAAAGTCTAAGTGCATTTATTCACCAGTTTTGCAAAATATTCAAGCCTACAATGTTACAATTATTTAGTTTTTTTTTTCAATTTTTTATGGTTTTGATTGATCAAACAGCCATTTTTTAATGCAAAGTTTAATCAAATCTTACGATAATCAAATGGACATTTTTTCACTAAAAGCATCTTTACAATGTATGTCATTCATTTCAACACTTCAACTAAATAATGTCAGCCTTTCTCTTTATTCAACAACTGTGGAATTTCTTGTAATAATTTTGAAATGGGGGCTTTTGGTTTAAGAAGTTTCTGTCATTTTCTAGCCTGTTCTGATTGGATGCCTTTATCCACAGAATGATTTTTGATCAATTGAATGGAAAAATGTAACTGTAAAATCAATACACCAATTGATACATAAATCAGTTTTTGCAGACTTCAAAAAGTGCATGCATTGTGTCAAAAAATCTGAATTTTCGTCATTTTTTGCACACAGGAGTGAATAATTGTGATTTAGAAAAGGGGTGACAAATATTAATGACCATAATCACAACACCTTCTGACCAATTCAGTTGAAACACTGTACATTCATTAACCACAGGTGTGCTTAGGTTTATACTAAGAAATGAAAACAATATCAAGTGTTCTTTTAGGGTTGCACAGGACTGAGGTAGAATTACTGACATATTTTTTTCTTCATGAGAATTTCAGGATTTCAGTTGCTGAAATGTACTTACCAGGTGAAACCTCCCTTCGTGTGTGCAGTAGGAAGCATCTGGAAATCATGAGAGAGAACACTGAGTTTGGTAGCTTTCCTGCACGATTCGTTACACATTTTAACCAAGTCCTAACCCTTTGTAAGCCCTGTGTATTCATATGCAGGAGCTGGTGAGATATATGCAGGGGCTCATGCTTGGGTGAAGGGCGCAAAAATCAAACTTGCATCAAATTTGAGAGTTTTAACTGACAGATTTAGAGTGCCACTTTGGCACTTCGGTCAGTGAAAAAGAGCATGACATTGAAGTAGTGGACGGAGCTGGACATCCAAATATTACACAAGCCCTATGCAAGATCTTAATGATGCCTACCTTTGAATCAGTAAGGACAAAACACTAAACATGACTGGCAACCAGAATATGATTCAAGCACTCTAGCAATCTTGCAGCAGTGCTCACATTGAAACAGTTGGGGAGGGTTGTTGCCTTTTGCTTACCGAAGCACGATCGGCCGTCTGGCTGCAACGCGAAGCCGCTGGAGCAACTGCAGTAGAAGGAACCCAGCGTGTTGAGGCAGTCGTGCGTGCAGCCGCCGTTGTCAGATGCGCATTCGTTTATGTCTGATCAAAAGGAGCAAAGAAGGAAAGAAAAATCCTCAACTGCCAGCAACAAAAGAAAAATCATCAACTGCCGGTAACGAAAGAAAAATCATCAACTGCCAGCAACGAAAGAAAAATCCTCAACTGCCGGCAACGAAAGAAAAATCATCAAATGCCAGCAACGAAAGAAAAATCATCAACTGCCACCAACGAAAGAACTGAAATCAGTCTGTGTTTATTGGAGAATATTGAAAAATCTAAGAAAAGTTCCAGTTTGATAAAAAGATTAAAGTGGGCCCATGGTTGAACACAATCTGCATGGTGAAACAAGCTCTCAAAACAGTAATTTCTTTTGGAGTTTAAGTACATCAATGAGTAGTGTACAGTGTCATAAGAGAAGTGTAATCATTCAAAAAATATACAAATAAAACATCTCCTTACCATATTCACAAACACGACCAGTAAAACCAGGAGCACAATTGCATTTTGGGATAGAGCCATCATTAACACAGACACCACCATTCAAGCATGTGGCTGATGACGGGCATAGGTCCTGCTGCTCACATCTCTCTCCTGAACACAGACAGAGATGCAACATTTAGGGGTCTAGGCAATACATTTTAGAGCGTAACCCTGGAAAATGCACCTTTGTGTCTCCAGTAACTTCTTTTCGATTCTTGCTCTGACCACTTCCTGCCAGGGTGCCCGGTTTCGGGCACATAAGCTTTATACACGAAGCTGGGGAGCCTGAAATCTGACAAAAGAGCTGGGCCTTATGAGAAAAGACCGTACTTGAAACAAAGGACCAAGCTGCTGGGAATTGCCAACATTTTCTCAGTTGTCAATAGTGGAGGAAATCCGTCATTGTTTTGAATGATTATACCATTGTTTGTGGCATTCAGCGCGAGCGGATTACCACCAGGGACAAAAGCGCTCCAACGATGAGCAATACAATACCGCTGCATGCTAATCTGGCCCACATTAATAAGACGCCAGCCGCGCACTGTGCCAGTTTCGGGAACAAAAGAAACTCTTGGAAATCCCTCGGTTTTATGTCATGCAACTTCAAATTAAACCCAGCAGTAAGTGGTTAATAGTTTAAAAGTACTTGGGTTTTATGCTTGTATGAATTTCCTTATCTTTGAGCAAGCTTCGCATAAAAACTGCTAAAACATTGATATTTTGTTGTCTCATATTTCCTTTTCTTTGGTGTTGTTTTGTTACGCAGGTATACAGCAATACAGCTACAAGAAACCCTTTCACAAGAATGTTTTTTAACAGTGGATCATGGCATGGAATGTGGCAACACACGTCATCTGAACTGTCTTCCCTGAATGAAATCACACATAGCAGCACCGCCCTCTGTTGTCTGGAAAAGCTTGGACAATTTCAGATGTCAATACATTCAACCAAAAAGGATGTTAAACTTTGCCACATAAAAAGTGACTCTTAGAAAATGTACTTGTAAAGACCTCTTTAAGATGAACACACAAAAAAAGACAATCACAAGGGTCATTATTTTACATTTCTGGTTTGGTCAGTTCAGACGTGTATCACAAGGAATGTAATTCGGAACAATTATTCATGCTGGTTCTCACCTGAATAGCCTGGAGCACACATGCAGAACAACAAGGACCCATTGCTATGACAACTCCCGCCATTAAGACATGTTTGAGGGGTGCAGGAAGTGCTCAGGAGCTCGCAACTTGTGCCTTGGTAACCGATAGCGCAGTGGCATTGGTAGGAGCCAATCAGATCAGTACACGTGGCACCGTTCAGACATGTTGATGGTTGACAGTTATTTATTTCTGCAAAAACGAAGTCAAACACAATTTTTGTTCAGTCCATCACATCTTGAAAGAGAGTTAAAAACATGTCAATGCACTGAGCGAGAATATCAGCAACTAGGACAAGAAATGATGGGGTGTAAATATTTAAATTAAAAAAACAGGTAAAAAATGTGAAATGTCTACATACTTGGACAAAGCTGCGAACTCCTAACGAGGGAGACATCACCATGGATACTGGAAGCAACCTGTGACCAGCCAAGCACGTTACCTGACACCGCGCAAGACGAGTACACTGTTGTTATCTCATCGGGTGTCATGGCGTAGTCCCACATGTTCATCTGCACCAAAAGAAATTGTTTTAATACTGACTCACAAGCAGCACCTCCGAAAACTGTATCCTTAAAAAAGATTACCAGTTTTAAAAACATAACAAATCCAAACGTAAACAGAGCATGCTTACAAAAGTTAAAAAGTCCAAACTATTCCTTAGTACCTGACTTAAATCCCCTACAAAGGCCTGGGTTTGGGTGAAGGAACCCCCGTAGCTGTCTTGTTCCTGTCCAAGGACCAGCACACCCGATCCCCGTATAAAGGAACCAGTCTTGAAGTCGTAACCAGACCGTCTGACAGTCCCGTCTACATAGAAGGCCCAGCGGCCGTCTAAGCTGGCCCAAGTGATGGCAACGTGACGCCAGTTGGAATCGCTACAATTAAGAAAAAATGTTCATCTTGTTGATGAAAATATGCATTCAAGTCAAGTGCAGTGTGAGGGGGAAAATTGTTCTTACAGTAACTACAGTAATGTTGGTGTTTTTACTAGTTCTATAAATATCGTCCCACTGAGGCCAAGCGTGGTCATACGGTGCTAGACAGGAACAACCAAGTGAACAAATAAATACTGACAAACAATGAGTATTTGCCTAATGGAAGAAAATTGGAGTGTATTTTTTTCTACCCACCCAAAAATCAATCTAACCAATTTTATTAACGAAAAATGTGTTTCGAGTGAAAAATGTAAAAAGGATATTCACTGTAATTAATACAATGGAATATTCATTTAATTATGCTAAACTCAGGAAATATCCACTCAAACTTTCTTTGTTCACGGGCTACTGGCCTGAATGTTTTGTTACACAGTGTTTAAAATATGTTGAAAACTGAACATTTCAATTTGAAATTTTTTCGGGTGTCAGGCCCAAATCAAAGACAATGTAACTTCGATCTGCCTCTTACATATTGAGTTTCTCATCCGTGTACGTGAACTCCCCGTTGATGATGAAAGCCAAGCTGTTGTAGTCAGTGACAGTGAAGGCATTGTCTTGCACTGTGCCGTCGGCCTCACGCGTCGCATATGACAGCGGAGTACCGGCGTTCGCCGTGTCCGTGGTCCGCATCCAGAAGGCCAGGGTCAGAGCATTGAGGCCTGGCATGGTACCTTGCAGCATCACGTAATCTGATGTGCTGGCCGTGGGGAACAGGAGGTCAAAGTCGCCTGATAGAGCTGGAAATGTAAATTCCCGAGATCAGTGAAAGTTACAATAATGGCAAACATCTTAATGAGAAAAAAAATGGTGACAAAGATGTCCAACAACATTGGTCCACCTATTAAAGTTTAACTTTAAAGTCTAATACAGTTCAACCAACTTCTAGGAGCAATCTATGCCTAAGTGCTGGCAGTTGATATTTTGGAAAACTGTTCCCATTGACCAGTCAGAAGTGACAGCCAAGGTGAAATCTAGACAAAATCGTCTGTGAGCAAATTTGATATGTGGTATCTCAACCTGTGTGACTGCACCCACAGGAGTAAAAGTTATCATTGGCTTTGAAGAGACACTTTCAGATGTCTGGGAGCTTACCCATCACACCTATGCAGCTAATAAAACCAGGAGCCATTCTTGAAATTGGGAGGAAACGTCCATGGGGGGGGCAGGGTTTCATCTTGTCTTTTTAGGGATATTGGGACATTAACTGCAGGCATTGTTCACACTTCCTCATGTTTTGAGGCACGGTACGTTTTTGCTGCGATATATGGGGATGTGTTTATCAAACTGTTCGGTATTCTCTGCACATCTGACTGTTGTGTTTTATTTGGAGACAAATGGGGGTTATCGGCCTGGGAGAGTCAACAATTTGTCCCTTAGATATATGGCTTACCTGTTTCGCAGTACTCGCCAGAGTAACGAGGAGTGCAACTGCAACGGAAGCCATTGACAATGTCTATGCATTTCCCTCCGTGTTGGCAAACCACGTTCTGTAACTCGCACTCGTTCAACTCCTGTTCGCATCTAAAGTTTTCAAAATAAATATTGTCTTTGCAATCAGTCTCCTTCAACCTTGAAATAAAGACACACAGTAATATATTTGTTCTGTTTCAGTTGGTGGAATTGGTGGCTTTTGTTTTCACTTGGCCAGGCTTTGAATATGTGCTCTGCAGGCCGTAGTCAACAAGAGTTCTGTTGGGGCCCCACCCAGTCCAATTACTTGGACTCAGACTGGGCTCAAAATTCTGCAGAGTGAACCTGTTTGAATTCATCAAAATCATCAACATTCAGTTGTGTATTAAAAGCAGAATGGGAAAATGGATTCACATTTGCACAACCGTTTTTCAACTCAGATCGGACTCACCTCTCTCCTGCGTATCCAGGCAAGCACAGGCAGGTCATGGAGTTGAAGCTGGCCTCGCAGGTGCCACCATTCAAGCAGGGATCTGACAGGCAGTGGTCCACCAGGATCTCGCAGTGGCGCCCCCTGTAGCCTGGCTTACAACAGCAGGTGTAATTCTGCCGCACAGATTGGGGGGGGGGAACATATAAGAGCTTGATAATTCATAATGTCAAGTTGTGCCCATAGAGCAGCATTACTTGAGTGTTAACTCCTCATTTCTCTCTGCGGAGGAACTCTGATGTCATCCTTTTGAATTGGTGTGCGTATTTAAAAGAACATTAATAAAATGAGATAGAATAAATTCTGAATACTGTACTCTACGTGCACTGTGCAGGCACAGCGTTTGCAAATAACATACGGCCAGTTTCCTGTCATTAGTATGATGCATGAAACAGCCTCATCCAAATTCCTCTGCAGCACATAGATGCACATGTTTTTGCTGTTTGCACGGAGTAAAACCAAATGCCTTTTGGTTTCTGGCGTATCGGCTTTGATGACGCAGACCCAGATATTGAAATAATTGTACTAAATGTTGAGTTTTCCATAGGTCTGTGCATAACATGGACGCACCAGCTGGTTTCGCGTTGCATATCCCCCACTTACACAGCTCTAGTGGCTGTGTATGAAAAATCTTTTGAGCCACAACAGCCTGTGTTGTGAACGATCACTTTCATATTTGCAAATGCTGAAGACCTGGACTTTGGTCTCCTGACGAAATTTAGTCCCAGCCGTAAAAAGCAACCACACATGAAGATGACCATTCCATCAAATACGGCAACATCATTCTAACAAGCGTTTGTTGTGCCTTTACCTGAGCCAGATCTACGCATGTCCCGTCGTTCTGGCAGGGATCGGACGCACAGTCAAAGAAATTCACTTCGCAAAATTCCCCTGTAAATCCAGGTGCACACTCGCAGCTATAGGAGTTTGGACCATCGAAGCAAACAGCGTTGTTACTGCACGGATCTACCAAAAAAGACGATCACAAGCAGACATAAAGGTTTTACTTTATGGTTCAACTTGCTTTTTTGGATAAAATCATAAAACGTTAAAACATTCAGGCTTCCCTTGAATAATAAAAACTAATATCAAAGTGTGTCCGATCTCGGTGAAAAATGTTCTATCTAGGTACCTTGTTAGACAAGGATGAGTGAAATGTGTAAGAACACTTAGGTTAGTTCCCCTATAATATTGATGGCAAGTAGCCGTTGTAATTTAAAATAAAGTATAACATTATGTTTTAGATACCCCTTCTATTTTTAGATGCAGCACACACATCCTTTTCTTTTGAAACTGTCTCCTTTATTTAAAGATGATGATGAATATGCAAAACAAAGGAAATAATCTTGAGGAATGTTTGCTACACAGGACAAGTTCGATCAAGGACCCCAATTAACCATAGTTCAACTATCTCACATCGAACTCACGTCAGTTGATGGTGGTTGGACTAAACTAGTCAACTATTCGTGACCAGCCTACCGAGGTTGGTGGCGTCATTGGTTGCCATAAACTGTTTACAATAGCGCAGTGCAAAGAGGACCAGTCAGTTACATGAAACATGCTGGAAAAACAGTATGTCACTGGTGAACGATCGTTTTCACTTTTATTGTTGCTATTTTCCCCACACTGTGGCCATCTTTCTCCCCTTTGGCATAATGACCTGACAATGGTTGACTACAGTCGTTCGCAGGTCATCTTCACCGCACATGCATGCACTACATACATGTACATCACGAACCAACCACTAGTTAATTAGTGGTCCTTAAACAAACTTGCCCACATGTGAGAAAACTGCAAAGATGGTCGATTAAATATGTGCATTTTTTGCAAATATGACAGTATGTGAAGAATAATGCAATATGTTAACAAATTTTCTTCCAGGTTCAGAAATTTTACGCTAGTTTCGGAAACAGGAACAATTCTTCCAGTTTAGTCACAATGGTGACAACAGGATTTGAAGATCTCTCAAAATAGTTGCCATTGTTTGGTCTGGGAACTGGACTTAATGACATAAAGGTATATTTACTTGACTGGCACTCATCCACGTCAATTTGGCAGTGCTCTCCCTCGTAGCCTGTTGTACACTCGCAGCGATAGCCTGCTACCTGATCCACGCAGGTCGCATTGTTCAGACACAGATCGTGGTTGCAGTCGTTGATGTTCAACTGGCAGTTGGGACCGGTGAAGCCCGGCGGGCAGACACACCGGTAGCCCCGGGGCAGATCGGTGCACAGTGCCCCATGCATGCAGGGCTGAGATTCGCACTCGTTGATCTCTGTGCACAAAACAGCACTCCCTGTCGTTACCACCATCATCACCATCCATGCCCAAGTTTTTCCAAGCTGTGAATCTTTTCCCAGCCAAACTCCATAAATACTGGTCAGCAAGAGTCACTTTGACAGAATTTGTATGATAGAAATCTGACTGTAACCTCATATTTTCAACACTGCGACACTGCGCCAATGGATTGATATTTGCCACCACAAAAGGCCATGCACGGCGTCCAATTTTAAGTTCGGCACACGGTCTGCCTCCACAGCTTTCTCAGACTTTGTGTGCACATGTACATGGTGAATTAATATGTTTAGACATCAGCTGCAGGTGACTCAAGGCACGCCAGACGTTTTAACCTGTCAGATGCGCCTTTGTAAACAATAAGGCAGATTGTGTCTACGTATCCTTATCCCCAATGTGGTTCATGGAATGTCAGTATAAAGTTAACTTCATTATTTTGGAGGACTAGGGAAAAATTTGACAAGAATCCTTTTACAACAAAGAGTAGGCTCGTGATATTTTGACCACTGATGGGCCAAAAAACACCAAAATTGGCCCATTATGGTGTGCGATAGATCTTTCATCCTCTAGTTTTGGAGGACGTAATAACAAAGTGTTGTATACAGCCTACCTTGGCAGTAGCCCAGCGCATGTGCTCCTTCGTGGTGGGTGTATAGTCCCTCTGGGCAGGGGACGCAGGCTGTCTGGGCAATGAGTTCTTGGTACGTGCCCTTAGGGCAAGGGGAACAGGGTGTGTAGCCTGTACCAGAGTACGAGCCCATTGGGCATTCACCTGATCAGAGAAAAGACATTATTTCCATGGTCAACAGAATGTCTTTGAGTTGGCCACCGGGCTGGATTATGCAATAGGCACAGTAGGCATTGTCAGTGTCCGGTGTATGCTTAGGACCTAATAACAGCACAAGAGCCAGTTGGTAAGGTTTTAGAGTTTCTCTTGCAATGTTCAATTTTGGAAGAGCTTAATTCAAACTAGCAAGAGCATGGCTCAGTATATGGCTTGGCATGAACACAAATGCTCCGCTGCTTACTAGTGCTATGACATTGGCTCTGGTATTACTACTAAGGACATAGTACGGTCTACGAAGCACTGGTGACCAGGGCCAACAGAATACTTGACCAGGCCCTGGTTGGTTAAACTAGTTTGGGCCTAGCAACAAATAACAAGAAAAGTTCAATCCCGTCCGATGAATTCCGTACCTGAGCACTCATCCTCTGATATGGCACCTTCAGTCCAGGTTGTCAGGCCGTGGGGGCAGGGTTTGCAGGATGTGGTGCCCGCTCTTGGCTGGTAGGTTCCCTGTGGACATGCCATGCAGGAAACAAGGCCACTGGAGGAGAAGGTACCCTTTGGACAGCGTGCTATGTGAAAAAGCACAGATGAGGTTCAACAATCTTTGACTGCTAATGACCGTCTTTGTTTTAGCCTGGAAGATCCTCAGAACATAAGATGGATATCATAAAGTGAGGCCCTCTGTGTCTCATTATGGACACCAGCCATGGCTGTCTGGATCCCTGTGTTCACATAATGGTTCACATGGCTGAGTATCTGCTCTGACTACAAATACTCCCTCACTGGCAAAGAAGGGAAGGCTACTGCAGGAAGTATCAACAGGTTGCATAGTGCATGCACGAAGACCAGCCATTCCAACAGAATTGGTTGAGCATTCTCATTAGGTCCCATGCCAAATGCTCGCGAACCCATCTCATGGGCAGATCTGGGTGGGTGGGGGCAACGAATCTAGGGCCTCCCTAAACAGAGCCCCCTATCTTAATTATTCTCCTTCCTTCAAATGGCATGTTAAATAGAACTCGAAATGGAGCTTTGGGAAACAATTCATTTGGACGACAGACCCACCTTTACAATCTTCTGGATACTTGGAGGCTGGGCGCCTGGTTGTGGACCCAGACAGACATTGGAGGCAAGTCATCTGGCCCTCTTTGTTTTGGTAAGATCCAACTCTACAGTCTTGGCAAACACCACCTTGAACATCGTGGTACGTACCCGTTGGACACACAACTATCAATTTCAAGATGGTGTTGCAATATGAAAAAAGAGAACCAGTTATTTTATTTGTTTTTACGTCTTTCCTTGGAGTACAACACATTTGCACAACTGACACCACTTAAGCAGCCTGCCATATAAAACAGAAACAAAATGCTTTTGTGTTATGCATCAATTAAGCTGATCATTACATGAACCTTTTTTTCAGCTTTTTTTGTCACGTGTTCAAACTGCAAAACTGTCTCATGCTTGACCACTAAGGAATTTGACTTGCATGTTAATCACTTTGCACCAGGAGGCGGCTGGACACGCTGTTAAAATTGAGATCCTCAGCCCGCTTTTCAGCTATTATTCTCGGCCCACGCTCGAGCGAACACGGTGAAAGAAGGCAGACCCTGGCTCTTGTATATATGGTAATTGGCCTTTGTGTATAGCCCAGAAATGAAAAGACCAAATTTGCATCATAATCACCAGCTTCACAATAGTCTCCACTTTGAAAAGAGGCAACGGGAATGTGGAAGCGTGAGTAGAGCCGCATGCCACCGAACAATCAGTCTTTTCACCGTGTAATTCAAAGCATGCAGAGCACGCAAGGCCACAAACCGAGAATTTGTAGTTCGGCAGGTGGCCTTCATGGCCAAAGCAAGGCTGGAATTCTTGGAGACAGCTTTCGGGAAGAAATTCCAGGCGCGAAGGGGTTAAAACATTCATTAGATTGAATCGCAAAGTCAAAGACAATGAGTTTTGTCGTTAAGGTCCTCATGGCCTTACACTTCAGCCCACTTGCATTGAGCACGTCAACTGGGAATATCTGGTACTTTGGATGAACCGGGCTTAGAAAAATGGAAGTTTGCAAGAACGGTACATTTGACTATCAAAAATTAATGTCAAAATGTTTGTAAGACATTGCTGAAGAACATTGCCACAATATCGGAGCTCCTTTGGGGTTAAGAACATGATGTTGGTAAGGGTGTGATTCTTACCGCAAGACTGATTCCGGAGGACCTCTCCATCATGACATGACAGTGTGACTGGGCGCAGGATGCCAACCGGCCCCACTGGGGACAGCACGTTACCATCCTCCGTGGGAAGTTCAAGTAATCCCGTAGAGACAGCAGTGTCCATTGCCTCCACAATGTCACCGAGTGCCTGGATGGAACTGCCACTCTGGTCTGCTGCTGATGACTCGTTCAGGGGCTGAAAGTGGTGAATGAACACTCACATGATGAGTGCAGATAAAACACTGATAATGGTTATATAATTATGCTTGATTGGGAGTTAGTTTAAAGTTAATTTGGTGAGGGTAGAGTAGAAAATATAAGAGACACTTACACTCAGAGCAGCATCTATGATGTCTGTGTACAATTTAATACTTAATTCAATTACGCAAGAGAACCGTTGACTTCCTAATTTCAACAAATCAGCAACCATGCATAATACAGGCATTCGGCAGCTAACTGGATGACATTATTAAAGGGCATGTTTGTCAGGATACAGATCTGGATCGTGATCAGTGCGCCCCGGCTGGTTTGCACTTGATATAACATGAAAAGTCTTTATTTTTGCTCTGGATAGCAATACATACCTGCTGTTGGCTGGTGTCGACGACCACAGTGAACTCTATTTGCAAGACAGCATCGTTGGCTTGCCTACGACGCCTACCCCCTTCCTGAGTGGTGTTTTTAATACCGCATGTCACTTGGACATTCTCCACTGAGCAACCCGAATCAGGCAGGCAAAAGCCGGGAATGACATCATTGAGTTCCTGGAACCTTGCCACAAAATCTGCAGCGATCTGCGTTCTATCGTCGTCGTCCAGCTGGCAATCGCTAACATAGAACTGGACACCAAGTGTTGTCTCCGCCGTAGGATCTCTCATTTCTAATAAAAATTATCACACATAGGGTGCAATTATATCCTTTAATAAATCTGTGTTAATGTTATCTTTAAAAAAGAAATGCTACCCCTTTTCACTTTTGCCTCTTCAGTGCTAGTTGTTTAGGAATAACACTCTTTCATTGACTGAGAATGTGCAACCATACGCACATGTCCCTTGAATTTAATCACAGAAGAACCTTATCGTGAAGAGCATTTCAAAAGTACATACATGTGGTACCAAAACAGGAAAAAAAGGCAGAATATTTAATGAAGTTAGCATCACAGAATAAGAAGGTTCAAATCCCGGCCTCATATTAAACTTTGAACAAGCTTTCATTGCTTCAAAATATCTCAATCAGAATCCCTAAGTCACAAATACGTCATTTGACATTTTGATCTATTTCTCTCTAACTCCCTTAAAAATTACTTGTTCAGCAATATCAGCACATTTTTGGCATTCTTTTTAACTTCTAACAGTTTATGGTTTGTAATGCAGCTCGTCAGTTTCCTTATATAGTCTGTTTCATGGTTTAAGTTCAGAAAGAAGAATCCTTCCCGAGTGATCCCTGTTCACCACTTCCCAGGTTGTGCTGTGATATTGGGGTGTGATCCCTGGCTATATGGTGTTTCAAGTTTAATGGCTTCTGGCTAGCACCCCTTGACAGAGATATTGACACATGGGGAGAACCACCACCATAAGGCTGGATAGCTCAGTTGGTAGAGCACTGGTTCGGTATTCCAGAAGTTGTAAGTTCAAATCCCGCTCCAGTCAATTTCTTTTTTTATCTTAATAATTACCTCACGGATTAATTGCAAATGGATTAATGTTTTTCGAGCAATGTTCAATGTCTACTTTACCTGAACAATCTGGCCAAGGAACTTTAAATTCAGCGGGATTGTCCAAAGAGAGTGGCGACGGTGCCCACTGGGCCACGTTGTCACAGAAGTATTCTGTTGCAGGTTTCCGGTTGAAATCAAAATTCTCATTACAAGCCACTCGACAGAACTGACCTCCTAACCAAGTTTCGCAGGCCAATGCACCGTTCTGTGGCGGAGGGAAGTAGGGACACGGATACTCTGTAGGAAAAAGAAAACCAACTTGATGATTCCAAGATATGCAAGAGGGGGGGCGGGGGTGATAGATAAAAACCACCCACCAACCCATCAACTCACCAAGCCACTAACTGACCTACCATCAAACATCCACCTATTTAGATTTCTTATTTTTCTAGATATGATTTGTTAGGCATAGGATTTGGCAGTTTGCAATAGGCCGAACAGTAGGTGCTTACGTCTCACTGAAACGGTGAAATTACAAAACACCCTGTTGCCTGCTCCATCCTCGGCTCTGTACCAGATAGGCTCAGCTACTCCCCAGGAAAAGTAAGACCCAGGTGGTCGGTTGAATGTCAATTTGACTGGCTCCCCGGAGTTGTCCTTGAAGGTGGGCACTGTCCAGTCAACATTTGTTTGTCTTTCGCTGCTCTCGACCTCAATGTTGTCAGGACAGTAGATGACTCGCGGTGCCTCTCGGTCTAGGCAAATTAAAATTTTCCAAAATGAAATGTATTAGTTGATGCAATGACTAATAGGCTGAGTGCAGAAAGGAAACCTACATAATGCAGTGAAGGACGTCAATTTCAAAACACAAAGTGGGAAATCCTAAAAAGTTTGATGAATCAACTAAGAGAGAATAGAGGAGGAATTACTGTGGCAGAGAGTGGCAACCTGCTCGTTTTCTAGAATGACCAAGGCTGTTTTAGAAAGTCTTGACTAAGGCTGGTGTAACACGCCCATCTGTGGGTGTGAATGCTGGCTGTAGGCAAGCCTTCACGACATCCTTCAAGATGTTGTCTGCCTCATAGAATTAGGCATGGATCTTTTCCAACAGGGTGCAAGGAGCTTGGGGAATTGTCAAATTGTTTGGAAGCTGATGAGGACCAAGGGCAGATCCACGGGGGCCCAACTTGGACCACGGCTCCCCTAAAAAAGGAGCCAGAAATTTTTTTTGAACAAATAATGAAATAATAATAATTTTTCAATTGTCTTCCCCCCCAAAGTTAAAAGTCCCAAGTCAGGCTGGTGTAGTGGTTCTTTCCTCGTTTCCACCTCTGCTACCCGGGTTTGAATCCCACCTAGGTCAGGTCAGCATGTGGATAGGGTTGTTAGTCCCTGCCTGACTCTGTGGGTTTCCTTGGAATATTTATCCTTGGTTTTCGTCCCACTTCTAAAACTGAACATTGCTTCATTGTCTTCTCAATTATCACTTCAACCGCTGATTGCCGCCACATGATGCAATGTTGGATGAAGAGATATAATACATAAAATAAAATGTTGTGCCTCATCCGTCAAAAAGACCAAATGTGGTTACCAAAAAGTCTTCCAAATGTTTTTGTCCCCTGCCCCCCGAAAACATGTCTGTCTCCTCCCCCCAAATTGTTATGAATCTGTCCTTGATGAGGACAGTGTACTTAATTCTTATGGTATCAAGCAAGGAAAATTTCATGACATTAACATATTATCAAGGTACTACTGAGTGGCTGTGTAAAAACTCTTCATGTTTCTGACACTGCCTTGCCTATACAGCAGTAAAGGACAAGATGTGTAGTTGTGAATTTGTGGAACGCTAGGGTATAACCTCCAACAGGGTGTGCATGCACAGCTTTTACTTGATGGGCGCACATCTGCTGAGGCCATACTTGCTGCAGCAATCATGTTAGAGTGTCCCTTTAAGCGTCCTCTTGTAGCTGTTGAGACACGTTTTGAGCCTCAGTGGCTACGGCTGTAAATGGCATGTGTGCCTCTGAAAGCCAGTAGCTGGTGGCTACAGTCACTACCCACAGACATTACTACTTCTGGCTGTGGTTGAGTCAGCTATGGGCTTACTTGTGCATGAATTTTCTATACTTTTTTCAATACCTTCAACTGTAACAATGAAAGTGCAGTTGGTCACTAGTCCCACATCATCACGCGCTGTGTATGTGACGGTAGTCTGACCAAGGTAGAATCTCTCTTGAGAAGTCGCTGCGGATGCCTCGACCCGTGGTTCCCCGGCATTGTCACGTGCGGTCGGCTGGTCCCAGCTGACATTGGCGAAGTTCTTGTTGCGGTCGGTTACCACCGAAACATTGACCGGGCAGAAGGTAAATTCTGGCGGCTGAACATCTTATGGAGCAGTCACAACAGAAGTAAAAGTTGTGACATTGTATAAAGTTATCATGGAAACTGTCCGTACAGGGTGCAAATGGAAACAAAAATGTGCGGGGAACTATTTTGCAAATTTGCAAATGCAGAACATATTTCACTCCAGCACATTTGGCTGCAAATGTGTGATGTCAATTACGCTGTTCTTTCATATTCACCTGAGGTAGGAACCAGCCTTTACGGAGAAATTCAGTTGCAGTTTGACTACATACATGCGCAGCACTAGTGAAACTTGCAATCCATGTCAAAATTATGTGATTGATCCAGTTATAGCCTTTTTCTTAGTTCAGTCAGAGATGATGCGTGAGACACGCCAAACATTCTTGACAGAGGGAAACCCAGGTGTAATAACCAGAACAGCGAAGTATCTTTTGTTGGGATTCAAGTAACGTCCATGTCTTTGTGACCATTTGGGTTTCGACTCCAGTGCTTGATTGCCACAGTGCCCCATTGTTTTGGCTTCAGCTTGAAATTATGCACAAGTCGATGGCTGTGACTGCGGCTAATTGCCATAGAGTCGTGTGCAATGTCAAGCTACAGCCACGTCATTTAGACACGGCCCTTTTTCTACAACCGTCTGTAGTTACTTTGAACGATGCTTCCCTTGACCCAGCTGGATTGTACACTCACCAATGCACTTGTTTTCCACTGATGAATTCGACCATGTCTCATCGGCCTGACATGTCTTAAGGCCCACCCCTTCCAACCTGAATCCCTCAATGCATTCATAGTAGCACTCAGATGTGTACTCCTGAGCTTTCTTTTCACATGAAGCTGGTCGGACTCTCATTCGTTGTTTGGAGAGAAGGGCAGGGCATGTCTTGGCTATCAATGAAAATGTATGTGGAATAAAATCTCTGGATGAATAAGTACTTTAAATCCATAATCTGCAGTGCTTTTCAGAACGATGTACATCAGACAAGTACAAGGCAATTTTATAAAAAGTCATCTTCCACTTCTTGAGACAACTCAATTTTTAAAATATATTTTACTTCATAAGAGAAATAATTACCATTTAAACTACTCCACTGATATAAAAACCAATCTCCGGTCCACTGATACATAAACCAATCTCCACTGATACATAAACCAATCTCCACTGATACATCAACCAATCTCCGCTGATAGTACATAAACCAATCTCCACTGATACATAAACCAATCTCCACTGATACATAAACCAATGTCCACTGATACATCAACCAATCTCCGCTGATACATAAACCAATCTCCACTGATACATAAACCAATTATAAAGGGTGAATTTGCATTGTGGTATAACAGAAATGCTAGAAATTGGCTCCATGTTCTCTAGCCAGATTGCCGTGTACTCCTGGGCGTTGGACAATATGGGACACTCGTAAACATTGCCCCTTTTTTTTCTTCAGCCTATTACTGTGTCAACTAACCCTGATTACAAATTTAATTATCAAATTATAAATCTAAGGTTGGTTTCCCTCAGATGAGTCGGTGACATGGTCTGGTCCCCCACCCAGAGTCATGAATTTGTGCCCAAATATTTTTTGGAGGGCGGGGGAATGGGGAATTGCCCAGCCATGAAAATTTGTGGGGGGGTACTACATGACTCTATTTCAATGTCAGTGATATTGATGTATATCTGTAATTATGTATTTAAGATGGCGTATTTATTGCTTTTTCGTTTAATTTGTTGGAAGTCTACAAAATTCTTCACAATCAACTTTAATATTTTGCTAATTGCAAAAAAGAGTGTGTGGGGTGATTTTGTAATAGCCCCTCCCCTTAACAAAATGGGGGGGGGAGGTTATACATGGCCCCCAATTGCCCTTGGATTTATGCCCATGCCGCCATCCTGATTAGAAATTTTAATATGTAGCCCAACACAACCAGTGAGGGACAACCTTTGTTATTAATAAGGCTGTACAGTGTAGCCTGGCATAACTTGTTAGGCCTTATTTGTTACACTGTTTTCATTTCCCCTTTGTTAGGAAAAATGTGTGCCACAGAACAGACATTGCATACAGTGTTAGTTATGGGCCCTCAAAATGTTATAACAGCCATCAGAAAGTGACACAATGTCCTAAAAAGTTAAATTTAGCAAGGAAAATGCATTCACTTGGCAACACTTAGGCCGAGGCTATAGGTTGTCCGGACAAGTTTGTCACTTTGTGAAATGAACAGGGGTATCAAGTGTTGTCCATATAATTTACAGAACTCTTTCCCATCATTGTCACCAGCGACTGACAGGCAATTAATTAGTATGTACATTAACACTGGAGTTAAAAGCACAGAAAAGCTGACTAGACAGCTGGTCAGGGAAAAGACCCATGTGACGATGGCCTAATTAATTACCTTTGCAAGTTCCAACTTCATCAGACCACTCTCCGACCTGCTGAACTAGGTTGAGCTCACAACGTCTCTGGAGGTCGACCTCTTGCTCATAGCCTTCGCTACACGTCACATTGCAGACAGTGCCAATGTGCCAGTCTGTTGTGTCGCAGGACAGATGACCGTTGGTCGGGGCAGACAATGCCCCGCAAGTAATTTCTTAAAAGACAAGTATGTTTTAAACTGTTTGTCAACTGTAAAAATACGAAAGCAAAATATCAGTTCTACAGAGGACAGCATCAGTGTATCCAGCTTTTGGTGTGTGTGTGTGAGTTTGTTTCAGCATTCAATTGGGGACTTTGAACAATAGAGGACAATAAGGTCCCCGATTGACAGAGGGTCCCCGATTGACAACTGTGTACAAAACATATGGGTGGTCTTCTAAAAAAGTTAGAGTGCAAACAAAAGAGGAACAACAGGGGGTCCCCAGTTGCAGGCAAATACACACTTAGGTGTTGGGGGGGGGGAATTCAAAAGCGAATGCGGTTCATTCACCATGATGTTGGGGAGAATAAAATCCATGGCCTTACTCACAGTCCTGACACGGTTTTGGTGCTAATATTTGATAAATGAGTAAATACTGATTACGTTCTTTCCCACTCACCCATGAAGTTTTATATTACTTGTAAAAAAAAATAAGTAAAACAAAAAATCCAGCCGGGTGTGCAAGTTCCCCCCCCCAAGTGAACAAACCACCAGGCAGGTTAAATATGAAAATGCAACCTAGATTGCAACATTTTGAGGAGCAGAATTTTCCCCAGATGCAAAAAAATTGAGTCTTTAATTTAAGGTGCAGTGGCCTGCATTGCTACCCAAACAGATTTTAAAATATATTTGTACACAAATCTCCTTGTTTTCTGCACGGTAAATTGTAGATCGTTAAAGAATTATTTCTTGTGCAAACCGCATGCATTATAATGCAGTAGGTCCGCACAGAAGTTCTTTTTGGGTGACTTTGAATGTATGTTATGCACTCTAGAAGGCATGCTCAATTAACGCAGCTTAAACTGGCAGACGGGAAATTCTGAAGCAAACTGAAAATCAATTAGTGACTTCATAATTTCTGTATTTATCCTTAATTACAAATGCTTCTAATAATAATAAGGAAACAATTGAAATATCCCATCAAACAATAAATCAGCAGTTTATTTGCAAGGTACTTTCCACAATTTATTGACACATGCATGAGCAGATTCCAAATCAGACAACTTCTTGTCCCTATCGATGTTGTACCGAATCGTAGGCCTACTCAGAGAGGATTTATCCAAAGCTTTTAAAAAAAAAAATAATGTGCAATCAATTTTCAATCGATCCTAGTTATATCAAGCCAATTAAATGTGACAGATGTGGAAAACATAAAAATACAATTGTCTGAGTGATTCTCACAATTTAAACAACAGGGTTGAAGACTCTGTCACCCTGCACCATTTTTGTGAATTTCATCCGTTTTCAGTGACAGCACCCAACAAACAGTGAAACTTACCACTGCACTGGAGAGGAGTATCAGACCACTGGCCATTGGCTAAACACGTCAACTGATCTGCGGTACCAGGCTGTGGTCTGTAGTTGGGTAAGCATTGCATGCTGCATTCGGTACCGTAGAGATTGCCACAGTTCGGTGGGACAAGTAGAACACCGGAGGACTCAGCGAAACTCAGTTGTTGGCATGTAATTGCTAGATGTTAAAACAATCGACTTGTTAATGCTGTGTTATAGCCAGGCATTAGTGCTCAAATTTACGGAATGTATCTAGCTATAATACATTGTGACATAAGGAAATCTTCTGGCTGTTACCTAACTGCGGCCTAGTGATAAACTCAAAAGAGAAAAATATCTTTGCAAGATGATTTCTTCGTTTAATGGACTGTTCATTTGCTTTGAAATCGCATTGTTAATTTGGTTTGGAATCCGCTCTGATTGCTGACTGTTATATTCTGGATAACGCACTAGGTTTGGTTTGTGTTGGCTGGGTTTAATTAGTCTTATCCTTTTCTTTAAACCGCAAACACAAGCCTTTTCTGCTATTTCTTTGAGCAAAAACGTCAACTGCTTAAGGACGAAAACTTCATGTACCCTTCATGAGAGCGAAGCTTTGCATAAAAAGTAATGCTCTAAAAGAGTTCAAAGGGGGTTGTTTTCGCTCAGTGATACTTACGCGTGCAAGGCACCTGCGAGCTTGGGGAGCCTCGATGCCCTGGCAGACACTCGCACTCATCGAGGGATGTGCTGCCCTCTGCCGCTGTTGTGGAGAGAGTGGGGCAGCTGGCGCAAGCCTGGTTGCCGTACTGTAATTTGAAGGTACCACGGGGACATGCTGTTGGGGAAACACAGGTCTAGGATGCCAAAAAGATCTGACATAGGAGATGTAGGAACTGATTCATTCAATGATAGAGGGTGCATATTTCAAGAAAAATTTTCATTTCACCCGACCAACCGGTGATGAGGGCCGCCCAATATGGTGGCTATAAAAAGAAGTAGCAACATACAGAAAGGACGGAATCTACTTTTAACGCGATGCAATGTAAGAAAAGACGAAGGAGTTTAAACTTTCGGGAGGGACTGTCAAGGTCATGCAGCACAAGTAAAAAAAAATTCGCTCAACACTGTCCAAGAAACACGCTCATTTTTTCAATATTTGGTTTTCCACTGAGGCCTCATTACCTGTACATTGATTTTGCTTCCCCTCCCCTGTGTATCCAGGATGGCAAGCGCATCCGTAGCTTCCGGTTTGTGTTGCGCATGAGCAGGTGGCTCGTAAATCACAGCAGTTACTCCCCGAGCAGCAAAGGTCAGAGGGCACGTCGCGATCCCACGATGCCATATCTCTATGATCTGAAAAGATTGGGAAAAACCGACATTGAGGAAAATCAGCCAAGAAAATGAAGCAACCGCGTCTTTTGTTTTGAATTGCTGTTGCTCGGCAGGCTAACCCACCTCCAATTACTTTCTCAGCCAGGCTCTCAATATCGGTCAGGTGAGCCAACAGGAAAACGTGGTCGCTGTTTGGAGATGTCGCGACGCCGTTCAGCTCATCAACGTTGACGCCGGTACCCAATCCAAGGGAGAAGATGGTAGCCTTGTTTCGTAGTTCAGTGGCAGCCTTAAGCGTATCCTCAGCATCATTAGACATGCCGTCAGTCAGAAGAAAGACAATCCTGAGAGGGGTGATGGAAAAAGTGCGACACACGGCGGCATAACTAGTTATTCAATAACGTTGCGTCAATGAAAAAGTGGTGTACATGACTTTTACAAGGTTTGAATTTCTCTCTCGTTCTTCTGTAGCCCCATTTGAGTCTTGTTTTCCAACCTCCCCTGCTTCATGTGCACGACTGAACGTGGACACGTACAGCTCACACAGACACACAGTCGTGAATTGCTATCATCAGGCTTCGGACAGGACATTTTATTTCCCTTGTTTTTTCAACTGTAGCACCCATGCATCTTTCAAGAACCAGTTGGAACAAATGACGGACAATCGAGGACAGGAAAACCCTTTGTCAGTGTCATCCATGTTACATAACGCCACACAAAGCCTTTGTTTTTCAGTGCAAGGGGTCCTTTTTTGTTGCCCTGTCCCATAAATTATCGTCACAATGTCCAGGAGAACAATCAAAGCCTTGGACTTATGTCATCAGGGCTATTATTCTCCCAGGTCATTTGTTAAGTCTGTATAGTCCTCGGGATAATTAATTTGTACAAAAAGTGTTTTGGAATAAACAATCGAATCTTACGACAGTTGGGCATGATAAGGTTTAAAAATTGTGAAATTACTCTGAATTCTTTACAGCTGGATCAGAACTTTGTAATAAGAGAAATCTAGACTTCTTCCACTATGAATCTCTTTTTCTTTGTTTTCGACAGAATTAGAATAAGTATTTATACTTTGTTTAAAATGTGAAACCAACCGTCTTACTTATCTGCCGACGGCCGAGAACCAGCCAGAATGTCGTGGGCTCTGCGGAGTGCGTCTGATGTACACGTTCCTCCGCCTCGATAGAAAACATTTGGTAGATCGGTGCCGAGGAGGGTGCATTTGTTCTTGCCGACCGGGGAGTTGATGTAGTCTAGGTCGGTGTAGATTTCGTCGCAGCTCGAGTAGGTTACCACCGCCACACGCGAAGTCTCCGGTGACACGCTGAACAGCTTAGAGAAGTGCCGGACAAACTGCACCTCGCAGCCGAAGTCACCCTCCCCCACGCTGCCCGAGGAGTCGAGGACAAAGACGATCTCGGCCGGCTTATTCTGGTATCGCTCCAGGATTTGGACGAATTTCCTGCTAGTCTCACGGATCTCCTGGCGGTTTTGCTCAGTATCTGTCGCAGTCTGAGGACATTCTGGGTATACCTGCGCCTCGATTGAGGGGCAAAGTATCAAAGAAATTGCCGAGAGAAATATGACCACGAGAGACTGCATTTTCACTGAACTGCAGTCCTCTTGTTTAAGAAGCCAATGTAGAACAACTTTGGCAGGTTATAGAGTGATCGGCTGTTGAATATCTGGCTACCGTTTTATACATGTACGTACTTCAGCATGCTATATTGCTGATTGTAGACTGTGACCGCCAGTGAAGTCAGTGACATTACCACATACAAATGAGTGTCAAGGGAACCTACTTTTTCCCGTACAATCCCATCGACAATTATAAATCAAACCGTGACGTACATCCAGGGGATTCTATTGGCAGACAAAACCAGGAAATAAAGAACTCACATTAAATAGCAAACATAAGAGCCATGCAGCCCCCGCCATAAGGGCCCTTAGCTAACGGCGCCTTCGACTGGATCACGAGAGCGAGCGCGGTCCTTTGTGGCCCTGGGAAATCGATTCACCTTCGACTTGTTGCCCTTCCTGGGCAGGATTTTCCTTGTGGCTGCGTGCTCAAGACCGCTTCCGCTCTTCCTGCATGTTGTGCAACAACGACCGCGCCTGGGGGTGCCGGGGGAAAGACAGGGAAAGTCCCTCACTGAGTATTTTTCTTGAGGGCAATTAACAGTGACTGACCGACCTGATACATGTTGGAATTTCCGGATTTGTCTGATATGGACTGTCAGTGGCTGACTTCTGGGGCCTCTGATTGGTGAAAAGTTACACGAAATCCTTCGGCCGCCCCAAGCCAATCGGGAAGTTTATAAGTTTGATACACTTCTTCAACGGGCAAACAAAGTTCAAGCCACGCATATGTTTTAAAGATCGTAAAGTAACTTTTCCATTATAACATTGGGCATCTAAGGAAGACACAGGCTTTAAAATAAACAAACACAACAGAACGAAACAAAACAAACAAAACAGCAATACGGTACTTTTAGTTGAGACTATCGTTTTTGTTTCCCTGTTTTTAGAAGGTCATAGATTTATAGTAAAACTTCCGTTTTTCTCTGTTTGTTCGTCAAAGGTAGACATTAAAAACCTAAACTCTCACACAAAACACACAAAAATTTATCAAGACACGTTCAGGTGTGATTGCACTTTCTGTTCGTAATCTTTTGAGGGTCATAGTTGGCACTCAACCAAACATTAGACTAGATGCAGCATGTGTTTATTCGTTTATCATATTCAGGAAAGGTACCATCACTAACTGGGCCACACCGTGGTTGTACTCGAAGTGAATATTTCTACTATTCTCACGAAAGAAGACAAAAATAGTACTACAACACCACTACCATTGGCTTTTCTTACACTTTTATTGAGATTGATTATGAAGTGTTATGCAAGCAATGATAAAAATACAGATGTTTAAAAGCTGCCTGGAGGTTACAATATCACCCACCAATAGGAGACTACGTCTAGTAATTTTGAAAGGAGCATAATGAGTGTCTATGGAAAGTGCTCCAACCCAAGGATCTGGAAATGAGGTGAGTAGTAAAAAAGATAAATTAGTGAGCATGTAAAGATAGATTTCTGAGGGTGTTTTGTTTGATTTTAGTTGGGGTGTTGGTTTGTCAGTCTTTTTTTGCTTGGGCTCAAGACAAAAATTTTACGTTTTCTTTTTTACTATTAGATCTTTATGCACCTGTCCTCTCGGACAATCTCTAAATATTTGCCGTCCCTTTTTAGCACGATTATTCTTATTTAAAAATTAACATATTCTATATCCCTTTCTTAAAGAATGAGGGCACTCTTGCAGTGATGTCAATTTCAGAAACACACTGTCTATTTTTCGAGTTTTCTGGTCAGATTAGCTGTGGAGCCCAATATGCTCATTGAAAATATTTGGGAAAAACTTTGCTATAACCGGCCTACCTCCATTAGTTGAAAACGACCAATCAATAAAGAATGAAAATGTAAAGGACAAAAATATCCACAAATCTGGCAAAATTAATTAATGTTGGAAAAAGATGTACGGTTTCTGCCTGAAATGCCATTACACCTCAACATCCAAATTCTATTCAGCATTCACAATTGAAGACACCGAAAAGGTCCTTAAAATTACCAAAAAGTAAAATAAAAAAAAAGTTACATTTACAAGGACTACGTGGAAATAGCTTGAATTACATGGCCCCTTTAAAATGCATATCATTGCAAAAGGTACGGAGAACTATCAGGCCGAAAGCCTGTGCGATTGTGGTCTGAGATGAGATAAAACAACATACCAAATTTTTTTGGTCATCTGTCATTTAATATACTCTCAACAATACCTTCCACTTTTGCTGTGAATATATATATATATGGCCCGTACCACGCAATTACATTTTGAAGGTCAATAAACCCCAAGAGTACGGTTAATCTACTGCATTTTCAGTTCTCTCCCTTTTCTCACATTATTGCATCCATGGATGTGATTAAATGTATCTCTTAAGCTTGTTACCATAACTGCGTCGGGCACATTCAAAATTTTTCCTTCTAACATTATGGTTATTAAAACGTGTTACGATTGTTTGCAATACGAAATTAAGGTTACAACAAACATAATTATAAAAACAGAATTCTTGTTTAGATGTGTAAGTAAAACAATCTTCATTAGCTCTATGCAATAAAAGGTTTGTAACGTATACAAGGATACCAGTAAAATTTAATATCGTGTATTTGATTCGCTTCATTGATGTCTATTGCTGTGTATACGTGGGAAAATGCTGTTAAGTCGGCGTATGATCTTTTCTTTCGCAATTAAATCTTCAGATTGAGCAATCTGTTGATTCTCATGAGATGGCGAGAGATCTGCAGCTAATTTGCACCCTCATCGGAGGCTGGGCCAGCTGGTTGTGCCGTGTGCTTACTCTCCGTTATCGCTGCCTGTGTCGTCTTCACGGTTACTTCTGAAAAGACAAGCCGACAGTTGTGTGCCATAAACGGGCTTTGGAACGCTCAATAGCAGAAATGGCGTTTGGATCGTACCTGACAATGCATGAAAACCAAATGCGTTTGAACGTTGTTCCCCCCGCCCCTCACTGAAAGGGTAACACCCTTTTATTTGAAATAAGGAAGGTTCAGCCCTTGTTTAATGAAGGTTGAGATCTCGAATGATGTCATGTAAAAAACGCCACTTGTCAAGGACGTAGTTTGCAGAATGCACGGATAATAACAGTGAAATCCGATATTGAAGGTTATGATTTGGTCGATTGGTCCGGTTGGAATCTTCACGGACGTCACTGTGAGACCATTTGTCTCAACGAATCTCTCTTTTACCTTCCCTTTGGGAACAATCAAGGCGACTCTTTGCGGCTTCTGAGGCAGTGGTTTCACCAGGGGGACACGGCTCGCAGGAAAGCTGGCCGAATCCGTCTTGGAATGTCCCCGTCGGGCACGGCAGACAAGAAGGGGTAGAGTCTACCACGACCGAGTACATACCACGAGGACAGGCAACTGCCGAGAAAACAGTACTGACCATCACTGTCAAATCTGGAACGTAGCGTAACTACGAATGTATTTTTCAAGCTTTGAATTTTACTGTAAAGCATGGAATTGGGTCGTGTATTGAAATGTTTTTTTTATTAATTCTTTACTGCGTACTTGTTCAAGACGCCTTACTGCAATTAATCTCTTCAAATGCATGTAATAACATACTTTAAAAGAATTTTGTGTGAAAATCTGTAGGTAACATTTATTTCCCTTTATATTATGGACCCAAGTTTAAATGCAGGAGAATATAGTTTGACATTCGACTACTTAGAATAACATCACTATGTGGACCCAGGTGTTAATGGAGGAGAATCGTATTTGATATTTGACTACATAGACTACCGTCACTCACAAAAGCTTTAAAAAAGAGAGATGAGAAAATCAATTCATTAAGAGGCGACAAGACCAAGAAAGCCAAAGCTTATGAAGCGCATGACAAGAACACGTATTAAAATTAAAAAAACATAAGTGGACATGTAACACCACGAGTTCGCTTTGAATGCAAGGTACGGAAAATAACTTGAAAGTGAAATGTAACATACTGCAAACAGGATCCTGAAGCTCCTCAAACGACTTCAACTCACTCCCAGATGGACAAGTTGTCCTGTTGCCCAAGTAACTGTAGGCTGATTAGAAAAAGAATTACAATGTTATTATTAACCCTAGAAAGAAGCAGCCCAGTTCACGTGCAGTTCATGAAGAAGAGATGTTCCATGTTATACAATAAAGGCAGTACTTACGGCTACAGTCGGGTACCTCTGCCGAAGGTGACCAAACTCCATTGAAACCGCACAGGTAAACGTCCTGTGGAGGTCCATTAAAGAAGTAATGCGATTGGTTGCATCTGGGCTCGCAGATCTTGCCGAACATCCAATCAGAGCAGTCGCTCTCTCCGTTCAGAGGCCCGTTTGGTTCACCGCATTCGATGGCTGATGTGGGATAAAGTTAAGAAGGAACCGCGAAGTGGAATTTCGAAATAGAGGAAGAGAAAAATTGAGGGTGTATTGAACGGGAGATCCGAGTAAAACACGGGAGATAAGAGGGGCATGCCATTCACAGTCGCAGAAGCTGTAGCATCAAATCAACAATCCGTGGTGTTAGGTCACCACACCGGGGTGTGTCAGACGTATATGCGTATGTGATCTTTTCCAATCTTACACACTAGATTCGTTTGAAAGAATCCGGAAGCGCAAAAAAGGAAAATAACCCACAATTTAGTGATTTGTGATTTCGTAGGTCCTTTACCAAACTCTCCCACTCCTACTAACGCAGACAAGGACGTAACCCTAAAACGTCATTGCCTAACCATAACAGTTAGTAATCTTTACTGCCTGACGTTTGAAATAGCCTCTAAGTCTATACATAGCCACAAGAAAGAAAAAGAGTTTAAATGCCTGAGATCTCATTAAATAAAATCCTTCAAGAAGTGGTCCAATATGACGTCAGTGGTTAGGAAGAACGAAGAAAAGGAGTTTGCGTACTTTGAATGGAGATGCTGAACTTGCAGGAGGCGGAGTTGCCAGCCGCGTCGCGGACCTCTGTCAGAACGGTGTAAGTGCCCCACGTGAAACGGCCTTCGGGCGTCTACGACAGCAAGAGACGAACACACGGTGTATTGAGTGCCCGAATGTTAAGAGAACTCCGAGGATTGATTCGCGAAAAAGACGTTTCTTTGCTAGGGAGGGTATTTGAACACCTATTCGGTATCTAAGGTAAAAACAAGCTGACACAATTATATATTTCAGCAGACGAGCTGGAATGACTCAAGGTAAATATAAGTGCACATCGATGGATGAGAAAGAAATTGGCTCCATGTTGATGACTTACGATCCAAGTGGTGTTACTATCTACAGCGACGTTATCGGTAGCCACCGGAGTCTCCCATTCGATCGTTGGGTACTGTTCGTCGGTATTCACAGTGAACGATTTCGGGCAGGATTCAAAGACTGGAGCTTCCTCATCTGCGTGTAATAAAATGCAAACAGACGGCGGTTTATTGGATGGCTTATCTTGGCGTATCTCACCAATATAATTTCAAAAATCGGCAAATCTCAAAATGTGGCAAAGCATGAAGCAATCCGTGAATTCATTATACGGTTTTGAAAAAAAATGACATGCTAGACCATGGACTTTCTTAAAACTTTCTGCCATACCACATTGACAATTGAATTACAATAATTGCAGCGAAGGGGTTAACAATGTCCATGTAAAATGCATATTTAATGAACATTTTGGTCTGCAGAGACACTCTGATAAGAAATCACTTTGAAGTCTGTTCTAGCGTATTTTCGATTTCAGACTCGCTTGAATAAAAAAGTAAAACCAGCCTCCTTAACGTACATGGGTCATGAGCGGGACCCATTTGACTTCCAACACTACCTACCTATCACACCAACGTTAAACGAACACGAGGCCGAAGATTCTGAGGAGTTGCTCCGAGCGGTGTACGTCACCCTGGTGTTGCCTGCCGGGAAGCGATGACCGACTATTGGTACGTTGGCCTCCAGAAGGTCTAAGGTGTGGACCGGCTTCGGAAGGTCGAGTACGGCATGAGAAGTACCCTGCTCCAACACCACAGACATGTCTCTTGGGCACGTTATCTCGGTAACTGAAACCATTCAAAGACAGGGAAGAGGTTTTGGCGCTGTACAATCACAACAGATGACCGTTCCTGGTACCTTATTAAATGGGTCCATGACCACGGTTAAACAATGCATATCAACACAGAGGGCGCAGTATGCAGTGGCGAAACTATTTGGGGAGGTATGGTGAACGCCCCCCTCCCCGCTCAAGCCGTATGCTCCCCGTGTGTAATTTCCGTAAATTACGGTTTTGTAAATATCTTGGGGTTGCGTTCAAACGTTATTACCAAGCGATGCAGGCTACGGTCGGTCCTTCATTTTGGTCCCGAGTTTCAAAGACAAACTCAAACTTTGAGAAAATGCCAAGAACCTTACCCTCCTGGCAAGTCGGTTTATCTCCAGACCACTGTCCGCTTGCCCTGCAAGTCAAGAACGAGGAGCCTTCCAACGTGTAGCCTTCGTTGCAGGAGAAAGCGCAGATGCCTCTGAACTCGATGCCACCGTCCTGCATGCACGGTGGAGGACTCATCAAGCCGTTCAAAGGGGGCTGCAGTCCTGGGCAACGCACAGCTGTATCACAAATGAGTGCACGTACGTGTACATTATGATGCATAGCGGTCAAATTGTGCCAAAATGACTCCCTTCAACGGTTCTGTCGCCAAACAATAACTTTACCCTGATGTAAGTTTGCATACCTCGTTCTGTTTTGAGACAGTCATGACACACATGTCACTTCGCAAAGCCTCATGGTGACCTATTTTTCTAGTTCAGTGTGTTATTCAAGCAGTGTATATTGTAACTGGGTGCAGTGACTTGTGTTTCAGCTTAAAAGTTCTCCATCTTATTTGTTCACTTGATTCACACTACTCATTATATAGCTTGTGGGAAGATGTTTGCATATCGGCGATAATTTCCAGTACTGATGTTCCGCATCCCACTGGACGTCTGGTATTTGACAATTTCTAGATATTTTATTGTGAGGTGGGACTGGAAAATATGAATGATACTTCAACCTAAACTTAACTGTGCGAAGAAAGTAAAAAAAAACGGAGTGAATTTAAACACATTCCAAATCAACCGAATGCATGATTTAACAAACAGTTGGAGGCCATTTTCAAGTTAACCAAGTCGAGCTCTTGACCCAGAAAAGACCAGAAAATTTCAGGCACCTTGAAACAAATTGCCCGGCTTTGTTTAAGGAAGTTCATGTAGTGACTCGTCTTAAGGAAAAGGAAAGTCATTAAGAACAAGGAAACTCTCGAGAATTCAAGATAAGCGTGAAGTACCTTTATCATTTTTAAAAGCTTGTAAACAAGGATGCTCTTGGCTGAACGGAAACGTGCTCTATTTATCTGCACAGACTTCCCTATGAACCCGGATCCCACCTCTACAAATTTATTTGATTTTTTTTCGACTGCTAAACTTTTGCCTTCTAGTGAAGCAAGTTCCCACGGGAGTCTGTACCAGTCCAAGACAGATTTTAATTCGTTACAGCTGTGAAACCTTCGCTGTACTTTTCACTGTGTTGGTGAAGGTTGGTGGCACCTATGGTATATTTCACTCTGTTATCTCCATCTGGCATATAGCTCTCATTTATCGAGGGGCGTGGCCGATAGCGGAGCCCCCCGGACAGATCTCGTGATGTTTGTTGACTGTATATGGCCTGGTAAAATACTTTACCACCGTTCTCCTTTTTGATCCACTGCTTTGCAGAACGAATGGCAAAAAGGGTACACCAGCGAAGTCACTCAGCGACCCAATAAGTGGTTTAGACGGCATTCAGAATTTCTTGGACGACACGGGAAGATGACTTGTGACTGTTCGCATTTTATATTACGACTTCTTGGAAATATCGTAATAATGCCTTTCTGATGAATTAATGCACAGAGCACCGTCGGATCGACAGGAGGGCACTGGCGTGCCACGCCCCCAGAAATAATTGTGTTTTTTTAACATTAACCCATGTCCCTTCCACGCCAATGCACGTAAAATTCCTCCCAAACTGTAGTTTATATCTCAGGCAGGCCATAAAAGTTACATTAAGAAATCTTCCATTTTGCCTCCAATAAAAACATCGCATGAGAGCAATGTCCTGTTAAAATCATCTGATAAAGGTCAAGACTCAAGGGGCAGCTAGCGAGATCTACATGTATATTACATGAAATGTACACCTACGTGTAACAGTGTCGTGCAACAGTGTTTGGTATATGCGTCAGTGACCAGCATAATAAATCGTAATCTTACGGTGACAAGATGCCAGCTCGCCCGCCCAACGTCCCGTGTTCAGGCACGTCCTCGCCTCGCCTCCTTGCAACTCGTAACCATTCTTGCAGCTGAATCGACAGGTTGTATCAACTGAAATGAGCCAGAAATAATGGAAACTGAACTCTACAGAAGGCTAAAACATCACACAAGATCTCTTCAAAACCCGTTTTAGTTTAATGGTGATAGCAATCAAGCCATAGAACATAACCTATCTTTACAGATTTTTGAAGTAACATTACTGGGCAGAAGTTATACCTCAAACCTCACAAAGCGAAATCCGACAAATCCGTTGTAATTTCATCGAACAACAAAGCACCGTTAAAAATCGTATTCATTGAAAAGAAAAGGAACTTTACAAAATCTTGGATGCAAACTTTGATCTCTTTCGTCTTCTCAATTTTTCTGTGACAATGTTTTCAAGCCAGCACATCAGCGGAGAAATACCCAAGCTTTGGATCTCTGCAGTGTTAAAAAAAAATACCAAAAAGGAAAAGAGCAACAGCAGGATTACGGGTCACCTTTTTGAATACTGATCCCTACCTGAGATAATGTTGGTCGCGTGGTTACCCAGACACAGTTCTCGCGGTGACACTTTCATGTTCTCCGCCAAGATGATCGGGCTGCAAGTTACAGCTAAAAAACATGACAGTATAAAATGAAAGAAGCTGTGTGGTGAATTGGTGGGGGTGACGTGAATAACAGTTGTGGTCGAAAGGTTTCATACACTTGGGCTGTAAGTTTTAGTTACAAGCCTTAAGACTTCATCTATTCCTGGCAGCAATTCCTCTTCGACAGCTGGTCATTTAGAACATCTTTTGTGCTTTAACTTTTCATTTTCTGGTTCAAATAAGGGGATATGCCGGCAGTTTAAATACAGAAAAAGAAAGGGTAGACCAAAACTCGGCACCGTCTTCAAAATATGTAATTAAAGACTATAGGCCAAAGTGTGTAAACTTTCGAACACAACATTATAAACTAAGAGATGCTTTTTAATGAACTGATGGAAACCAATATTTATCTCCATCAAGTTACCATACAATCTTTCTGTTAGCAGTACCGAAACAAGTGGTGAATCAAGGGGGTAGTTAATATATATTTTTGACGGGGGGTGGTACAGTTGCAAAGATGACTGCCAAGGCTTTTCCCCACGATATCTTGTGATCTCTGCATATCAGGATGGTTGTTCCATCCAGCCAGGCACCCTACATACAGCGTTGGTTTTAAAACTGCATCTATTTCTGGTTTTTCTGTAAAGTGTGTGCAGATGCAGTTCAGTGATGACTGACTCACGGTTGCATGTTTTGCCGTCCCGCGCCAGTATGAAATTGTCGTTGCATCGACAGTGGAACCCGCCTGGAAAGTTGCCACAGTCCTGCGGGCAGTCGTGAGTACCCATCTCGCACTCGTTCACGTCTAAGGAGCCAAAACCGGTGAGCAGGCAAAGTCTTAGTTGGCACCTCCGTGCCGTCTCAGATTCAGATTAAAGCAAACGCTACTGGCATAAATTAATCCCGATAAGTTCTTCAGCGACCTACTATGTCGTTTGGAGAAGGTACATGTTTCAGTCAATATGTTTCAGAGGTTAAGAATTTCAATCCAAACATATCAAGAAGTAGTTGACTTTTGGCATGAATTAATACTTAGCAACACTAAACACTGGATCCTTATGAATGTCCGTTATTGCCAACGGAATTTAAAATTAGACGTATCAATTCAAATTTAATACTATATAGTCATGCGTTACAAGGTCAGAAAACCTCGACAAGCGTTGTTCATTGTACAGTGCTAACCATTTTTGAAGGATCTGCTAAAAACTATAACAAATTGTAACACTTTTAGCAAACCACCAAAGAGAGGCCTAGGAATAAGCCGAAACTATACAAAATTTCTACGGTGCAAAAGATTAAAAAAATCTACATATTTATCCATATCATTTGCACCTCTCTTGGACACCTGAAGCGAATCTATTTCATTGTGACTGTATTGAATTTTATATTGAAATCGCCCTAGGCCTACATTGAATTGAATACACGCTACACCACAGTAAAGGTGTTTAAAATCTAACCTCGAAACACTCACCGACACACAAGTACGAATCAGAGGGGTCTACGGTATAGCCCTCGTTACATCCACAGGTGAAACCGCCCACCGTGTTGGAACAAGTGTGTTGACACCCGCCATTGCTCTGTGAACATTCGTCATGATCTGAAAGTGAGTATCAGTCAATTTACATTACCAGCTAATTTACTTGAAACCGGAGTAATAAATGGTTGAATTATGATAATGATCACCATCACCATCCATCATTTTCACCATTACCAATCTCTCGCACTCTCATGAACAACCCAAAAGAGAAAGAAACTGCACACATGGTTATCACCTTCGCATGTCTTCCCATCGTCTATCAACCTGAAGCCATCTGGGCATGTGCAGTAGAAACTCCCTGGTGTGTTACTGCAGTGGTGCTTACAGCCCCCATTGTCTTGCTCACATTCGTCAATATCTGAAAAAAAAATTGGACAGGATTTTCTGTTCGCCAGGGAAGATCTTAATTAGCCCTCTCATTTTGAGAGTGACCGTCTCTCTGCCAGAAACAAGACCATGTCTCGAAAGACACCAAACTGCTCGGCAGAAAACAGCAGCAAATTCGACAGGGTATAGCACTGTGAGAAATGCTGTATGTAAGAGACCTATACAATGTCACATTTGATAACTTCCCTATTCGAGGCGTGGCGTCATTGTACCATAGGTCAACTGGATGTCGGTAATCGGAAAAATGAACCAAAACAACTCCAAAAATACACGGGACGTATACACAAACATACGTTGCACTCCCAAAAGAAAACAATTGTGAATGTGCATTTGCCAAAAAGAGAGACTTGGGCTGTGTCCGAAACGGGCTTCCAGAGCTACGGCTAAGTTTATTGTCTGCGCGTCTCCGCACATTTTCAATGGAGCGAAGACCAAGACCTAGCTCTAGACAACAGATTCGGATGCAGCCTAAGTTAGAGTCTCAGAGCTGTTTATCAATAAAAATCAGGCCTTGTACCTTTGCACACCTCATCACGGCTGAGATCTCCGCTGAAGCCCGGCACACAGCGGCACTCTGAGATGGAAGCAGCGCCTCGGCCGGATGTTTGGGAATTCGCCGGGCACTCCAGACACTCGTTAGCGGTGGCACTGCGATATGAGTTGGGTCTGCATTCTACGAATGGTTGAAAATGACCAAAAGTGACCTTAAATAATCACAGTCGGCATTCAAGATTATGAATATTGAAAGCTTGTGGGACCAACTTCATTACATTCCATTATCATTGCCACAGAATTCTATAAAGGAGTGACGTTGCCCGTTGATTGAGCAAATTGAGGGCGCCTACTTTGACATGATCTCCCATCAGGCATTAGGAAGTTTCCAGGTGGACAGTCGCATCGGTAGCTGCCTGGGATATTAACACAAGTGTGTTGGCAGTTATATAACCTTGAATCCTGGCATTCGTCAATATCTGTACAGAAAATACACAACATTCGCTCAATGATCAACAAAACAGCACCATTTGGCAATATCACTGTAAACATCCAAATGTAGAATATCCTGGGATAGATGATTTCACATTTTGTTAAGTTTCATTTTTTTCTTTACAGTGTTTCGTTTAGGACTCCATATTCCAAACAAGTGTGCATGCTCATTTACCTTCACAGCTATGACGGTTTGCTGCGAGCCGGTAGCCAGACACTGTGCATCTACAGTAATAAGAACCCTGTGTATTAAAACATTGACCTTCGCAGGGAGCAGACTCTTGGCATTCGTTGCGATCTGTGCATTGGAATGTCAGGTGAGACACATCAAAAGACTTAATTAAAAACAACAAAACTCCAATACAAACAGAGCACAAGATGTTAAGTTGGTAATGGATTTACCGATTGATTAATAAATAAAACAAAATGATTTGATTCCTTTTACAAATCACAACTGACAAAGTGAACATCTGCTGTTTTGTAGGCCCACGTGTTCAGTTTAAAGGTAAGCTGATAAAAGCCACTGAAATTGTCCAATTGAATTTGGAATTAGAACAAGAAAAAGAACACACAAAAGATCGGCTGTTGGAGCAAAGGGTACAGAGCAAGATATCTGTAAAAATCTGCAATCTGATAGACATTTTGTAAAACTTACCCACACAGCTGGCTCCATGTGGGGCTGGTTCGTAGCCGTCAGCGCAAGTGCATATCTTCACGCCGTTGGGCCAGGAGCAAGCAGTTGAGCCCCGTCCACAGCTGCACGGGAGTTCTATAACAGACGTGATTCAATAATACACTCGTCAGCTTTTCAGAACCCTGAGAAAATTCCCAGCAGTCTTTTAATTTT